GCCCCCCCCCCCGCCCCCCGCCCCCCGCCCGGTACGCCTATGGTGGTATTTCGGAACCAAGTCAAGTACCTTCGATACCAATGTGCTCTACTATCATGATATATTTTGTGTGTGTTTTGATGTTATGTACTCAGGTGAATATAATGTTTTTGATGTTACTCTGAGTGTATATCCACACCGGACAGGCTGAAAAGTTAGTCTGACTACGGTGGGAATCGAACCCGCAACCTTTGGGGTCGAACCCGCGACCTTTTTGATCAGCCTGCCCGGTGTGGGTTACATTATATTCACCTGAGTACATAACATCAAAACACACACAAAAAATATAATACTATATTGTTTTATGAACTGACAACTTGTCTATAGCGTTGCTTTAGCTGTAGAATGAAATTTTCGAAATCAAATTGACAATCACCTATAGAATTTTGCAGGTTCATATCTTCGGTTCAGTGCGTGTTATGTAGATGAAAATACCACCGTTCGATTTAGTGAAACAATATCTTCTATTCCTAATTCTTACCGATAGTATTATAGCGATTTATGGCGTTTGAAAGCCAAGCGAGATCATAGGTCTCCCGAAAAGGTATTTTTATTTTTTGAAGTTAAAAAATCCATAAAATTGCTTTAAAAGCAATGCAATGCTTCAATCTACAGTAAAACCTCTATAATTCGTATTACATGAAGTACGTGTAACACAGTGTATAGCGTTGCGTCATTATGTAATCATTGGTCGATTTTGCGTGTGTCGGCGTAATCCACCGGATAGAGTGGTTTTCCAACCTTCTAAAGTACACACGTAAAAACGCACAAGTTGTTACAAATTTGTTCACAAGCTGTTGACAAGTTGTGTTCGCACTGCTTGTTCCCAGTTGTTGGAACAAGTCTGGAACAAGCTGTTAACAACTTGTAACAAGCTTGATGGCATTATCAGACTTGTTACAAGGTTGTTTTAACAAGTCTGGTACTGTGATACAGTCATGAATGATATATATAACAAGAATATTTCAAGGTTGTCGAAACAAGGTTGTACCAATATTGCTATATGACTACATCGGACTTGTCGGAACAACCTTGCAACAAGTCTGACAATATCAACAATTAAGGTTGTTACAAATTGTTGTTCCAAACTTGTTGACAACTTGGGACATGCAGTGCGAAGCTGACAACTGATTGACGAACTTGTTACAAGATGTGAGATTTTTGCGTGTGTGAAATAGTGGTTTTTCAAGCTTGATCCGTGTTGCAACGTACGTGATTCGTGTGCAACCACTCCCGTGGAATTCAAAGGACAAAGAGATGTTCGCCATGTTGGGTGATATTTCCATTGCAAACAAGCAAAATCCATTGTCAATGTCATCCGACATGGCGACGGGCTAACTTGCACACCACCTATTACCCAGATTCAACTTTAGTATTTATTATAATTAAACTTTTGTTTGCACAATTAAGGTCCAGTGAATAGCGCAATTTCAGTAATAGCCCAAGAATCTATTTTATTTACTTCTGCTATAAATGTACTTTCTACATACCCATATAAAACTGCTTCATTGAGCCGAAGACATTAATAATCATACTCGCTTCGATCGTTTTACTCCTTCGAGATTCAACCTTCAAAACTTCAAACAACTTTCATTTGACTATCCTTGGCTCTGGCTTAGGTTATTCGACGACCACAGATATCATAATTCGAAAGATTTTCACTATATAGCCATTAAAAATCATTCTTCGGCTTCAGGAATATGTTCGGGCGGCAACACCTTCGAAAATTTACTTTCAATCTGCATGTTCAGCCAAGCGGTACAGCGAATTCAATACGGCCTTTGTCCAACGTGACAAATGAGCTACTGGTAGTGGATGACAATGAGGCCAGTTTCAAACGTCGCGCTTCTCATGTGCCGAACGCATTAGAAACGATAGATAATGAGGCATTTCAGCTGATTTTCTATTGTTTTAAATGCGTTCGGCACATGAAAAAACCGACGTTTGAAACAGGCATGAGTTACCTGTAGTGGTGACGCAGAAAGCAGATCGAGGGAATAATTAATCCGATCACTGGATCATGACTGGATGGCAGTTTTGTAATGCCAAGTATTATGTGCAAATTAGCATTAGGCCCAATAATTGTATGGAAAATCAAACCACAACCTTCTCCTAGAAAGACCATTGTCTATACTCTACAGTATACAGGGTGTCCCAAAAAACCCGAAAACTATTGAAATCACTCATTGTTAAAACTGAATGCCCTACCAAAAAGCTGAACGTAATGATGCGTAAAATATTGACAAGGTGCATGTATTAAAATTTAGTTAAGAACATCTCCTTGTAAAGCTAGTGCGCGATTTTCTGCTCTTGGGAATTTAAAGCAGCTTCTTAAATAGTTCCTGTATGTATAAAATTTACTTGTGTCAATCATTTATGCACTCGTGGGAACCAACAGAGTGCTTAGGCATTTAAATTCTAACAATTAAATTGTTATTGGTGATTTCAATAGTTTTCGTTTTTTTGGGGACACCCTGTACAGGGTGTTCCAAAAAAACCAAAACTATTAAAATAACATATGTTAGACTATTTGAATGTCTCAGCATGCACTCTGCTGAACACACACAAGTGCATGCATAAAAGCTTGACATAAGTAAATTTTATGCATAAAGAAACTGTTTAAAATATTGACTTATTAAGAAATTAAAATAAAATATTATTGTGAAGCGCACGATTTTCTGCTCTTGAGAATTTAAAAATTCTCAAGAGCAGAAAATCGTGCGCTTCACAATAATATTTTATTTTAATTTCTTAATAAGTCAATATTTTACGCATCCTTGCGGGCGTTCAGCGCAATTAGGCATTCAAATTCTAACATTATACGTTATTTCAATATAATTTTGGTTTTTTGGGACAACCTGTAAATTCGTTTGAATTTCCCTTTGTGCTATTAGTGTGGACGAGGCTTTATAATCGATATTTAAATATTACTTATATGGAAAAGAACGGCTGTTTTTGTAAGGCAATACTTCTGGCTGATTTTATTCAACCGAATTTCGAAGTCCACTTCTATATCAATTATGCGTCGAAAACCGTACATTTCTCGCGAATAAAAAAATTGCATTGAATACAACAAAATTAAATTCGACAGAAATTCGACGCCTAAAACGTCAGGCCTTAAAAGTTGCGCCTTACATTTAAATGGCCACGATTTTCACTGGTATTAATTTTGATTTTCTGGTATTAAAGTATGATAATGCTTTGTGATTTCTTAGCCATATGATATAGCAATGCACGCGTAGTTAAAAAAATGCCGGTTCCATAAACGTCATAAAAATGCTTTATATATAATTATTCACATAATATACATATTATAAACTAGTATAATATAACATGGTCAGTAAACTACATTAATTATGCTATCTCATTATGAGAAGTATATGGTACTAGATGTTACTATATAATATTCTTAAATTAATTCAATGCTACAAAAACATTTCTGTTAAGCTGCCCATTTTGCATGGATACACCCAAAAACACTAAATTAACAGTGGCGTAAGCAAGGTGGTGGGGGAGAGGGGGCTCTGCCCCGCCCCCCACAATGGGCAAAAGTACTGCCCTTGTGACTGAAGCTGAAATCCAGACAGAAATGGGGGGGAGGGGGGTGTACGATGTGTGAATAATGATACCCATCTCTTCTGTTTACCAATAAAAGGGAAGACTCCCTATCTATAGAATCCTAACTTCAGCAAAAAATGCCCATGGTTGTTGAAAGCACATTTGAAATTGAATTTGCGTGCATAGCAGCCGCCATGACCGACTTCAAAGTTCAAATAGGCAGCCAAGTGGGCTTCTTCCATAGATATCTTATATACACCAGATAGTGCATCTAATTATTCTCAAATTCAAAAATTGAAGCCGTGATTGCAGACTCAGGACGTTCCCATGAAATGAGAAGATTCGTATGTTTTCTATTTCTTAAACAGGGAACTTAAACATTAAGTTAACCCTATTCCAAATACGTTTTTAAACTATTCAAATGATGAAAGTTATTGTTGTTTTTAAGCGTTTATTAGCAAGTGGGAACGACCAACATGGCCGCCATCTATTCAAATTCGGGTAACCGCTGGATTATTCTTGGCTTCAATTTTACTAAAAGAGATGCGCTATCTAGTGTATATAAGATATCTATGGCTTCTTCTGATTACAAAAACGAAGATATCGTGCTATTTTGCTCTTTTTCGATCTAACAATGTTAGGAGCCAAAAATAGCTTTTTAATTGTGGTTGTGGCTTTTTTCAAATCTCGTCCTAAAATACGTGAAATAGCGTTCTAATGAATCTGGAAATTCAAAATTTCATCCGAAAATTTTCATCGATCGAAATGTCATCAAAATGTTGCATCCCACCACCCCAAAGTTTGGACCCAGGCTACGCCACTGTAAGTTAACAAGGTGTGTTTTGAGAGTGTGGTGCTGTAGTACCACAAAGTCTGAAATATACTCCTAGGCTAAGAATAGCTACGTCAGGCCCGGTAAACTGTAGAACGAATTGTTACTGAAGTGTTTCAGAATTACGATGTTTCCATACAGTTGCAGAAATAAATCTTGCTTCAAAATTTCGTAAACATTTTTCGTTTCTCGCAAGCATGAAATCTAGTGAGAAAACGATGTTTTCCGTTTTGCGCACGTCCGAGAAACAAACGCATTTCCCCGCGCGACAGCAATGTTTCTCACATTGTCCAGCGGTTTCATATTTGATTTGCGAGTTAACACTTCGTCATAGACGAGTCGTTACACTGCAAAACCCCCCGAGTATTTTTACTTAAAAATATGAGTAATTAGCTAGGAAGACACTCTAAGACAGGAATCCTTCGCCAGCGAATGGTGTTATATATGAACTTTTGTATTTTCCTAATGAATTAGCTTTATTCTATAGTTTATGCAGTTAGCTACCTTTTTAGATGCATTTGCCCGTTGAGAAACGTAAAATATTAGGAAAAATTTAATTGTCAATTAAAATACAATTATCGATGATACTTTAATAGTGGCGCCATGTAAATAAGCAAAACTTACTGAACTTCAGGCACACATCATTTTCTCTTTGGCGTATACGATCTAAAACCTCTGTTAAAAACTTATTTTCTACATGCGGTGACTCAAAACAATAAAATTACTCATATTTCTAAGCAAACTTACTCAATTTTTTGAGACTGAAAAGTTTCAAATTTACCCAATTTTTTTTAGTTTCAAATCTACTCATTTCTTTCGAAAAAATTAACTCTAAAATTAAATAAATCTAAATTAAAACTCACAACTTTTCGAAATTTTATTCAATGCCAGTTTGAGTCAATTTGGTTCATATTTCACTCATACTTTTCATTCAAAATACTCAGGGTTTTTTTCAGTGAGCAAATGAGAAATCCTGCATTCGTATAATCGTACAGTAGCTTTGATCAATTCTGCAGGTTCCTATAAGATCTGGACAGGTCAAACCAATCCATCGTACAGTGAAAGTGCTTGGACAATCGTAGGATCTGACTTCGAACCCTCTCGGAATTCTTCCATAGAAAGTCTATCATCTTTATTCTGAAAATGTGAAATATGCCGATTAGTCAAACTGTTGAGTGTTGTGTTTGAAAAAGGCAAACTCGTGGAAATAATTCCAGGCTTTCTTGGGATCTTGTAGATGGGAATTATAGAGTGGAAATTGATATACATTTATTAGACATAACCAAGAACGGTTGCGAAAAATGCAACTTTATTATATAAGTACTGAGATTTATTCATTAAAATGACATTGCGTAATAATCGTAAGGAATTTTGCCATAGCCAATCAGCGACGCGAACGATGAAATTTCACTAGTGAAACAACATCGTTCGCGCCGTCTGATTGGACGAATGATGTTTTTTCACTAGTGAAAAATGATCGTACTGAAAAATACGTTTGTTTTCCACCACGAACTTTTTGGCGCGAAACCTATTTCAATTTGAAAATCATAATGGCTGCGTGATTTACGGACGCCGTTTCTGTTGACAATTTCATTTCAGGACAAGAAAATAAAGCTAGTATACCTCACAAAAAACCTTATCCCATACCTGTGTTAAAAGCGGCTTTCTGATTGGTTTAGAGCAGGTGAGCTTGTCGTCGAGCTCACCTGCTTTTTGCCGAGCTCACCTGCTTTTCGCCCGAACTCACCCGCTAAACTGCTTACGTTGCAATAACAATAACAAATATGGCGGACAAGATTTAGCCGATAAACCTAAACTTTAAAGAACTTTTTTCGGTGACTAACATACTGAGACTGAAGAAAAACCAAAGAAAAAATGCAGTAAAGGTAATTTAGACGTAGATAAAGAAGTATTTTCTTGCCCAGTGATTTTTTTGGCCGGGAAAATGTTCACAAAACATCGACGAATATATCGCGAAGAGCTACAAATGTGTGTATGGCTCGGTCAGCCTCGGTGTATGGGATAAAAACCAAACGTACTTGCATGTTCGGTGAGTCCGGGATTGGACGCACCTCGGGTGGCTGGAAGTTTCCCGAACTCACCTCGCTTCGCTCGGTAAGTTCGGGAAACTTCCAGCCACCCTCGGTGCGTCCAATCCCGGACTCACCTCCCTCCAAGTACGTTTGTTATAGAACGAGATGTAAAACTATTACTGTATTACACATGTTTTGGAAACCAAGAATGAAGAAAGAAAAATGGAAGATATTCTGACAGCATAACTGAACGAGTACGTGTCTGAGTTTATCAATTCGGTCAGAACCAAAGACGGGAAAAATATACGAGCCATCTTTTCTCCGAAGTCCATTAGCAATCTTCAAGCGACATCTTAAGAAAAAAACTGCCCGGTTGCAAGCATTATCAACGATTTAGCATTTAAGAAGACATTAAAAACTTTGAAAACTAATATTAAAACTTTAATAACGTTTTAATAACATTAAAACTTTGTCATCGTGAATGAAATCTCAGTATTTATATAATAAACAAATCACATCATGGTTGGTTCGCAAATACGATTTTTATTCACTCGTGAATTATTACAAGCTCACTCGTTCGCTGCACTCACTCGTTCACTTGTAATAATCCACTCGTGAATAAAAATCGTACGCGCTCACCAACCATGACTAAGTAATCTCTATTTATGTCACTGGCAGGAATCCGGCGAACCTGCGGCCCTGCGATTCTGGTGCAGCGCTCTAACCAACTGAGCTACATTGAGTATGTTTATTGAGGCCTGTTTCAAACGTCGCGCTTCTCAGGGCCTATTTTAGTGTGCAGTATTGCACACTTTGTGCAGTATTGCGGGATAAAAAGTGTGCAGTATTGAATGCAAAAGTGTGGAGTATTGAAGTTTGAAATAAATTTCAACTTTGTATATGTGCTGAAGGAGCAAAGTAGATGAAATATAAAAGTTGAGAATTCCAAAATGCCTTTCCAACAAAATGAGTGAAGGCACAAACAAAGATGGCCAAATATAGGCCAAGTTCCGGTAATAATTCAAATATTTAGTATTTTACAACAATACATGCATGCTCATCGACTATGTCCAAGGAAAAAGTCACGTTGTCATTCTACAGTGTGTCTCAAAAAGAGTATACCGGCCTTTCAAGTTCAAATTAACCGTAATTTATTGTGGTAATTTGACAGCTCTATTCATTGAGGATCATTTGTGTTGCATCAGCGAATTACTACAATAGATAATGGATGATTTGAATTTGAAGGAGTTCACTTTTTTGATCATGAGGACACCGTGTATGTTGTCATTATGTTCTACATAACAATTCAACGATGACTTCAGGGCCGTAGCGAAGGGGTATTGGGGGTGGTTAACCCACGCCCCCCCCTCGTCACAGGATGACGTCATTGATGACGCCTACTCTGAAGTGTGCAGTATTGAAATTTCCTTAGAATAGGCCCTGGCGCTTCTCATGTGCCGAATGCATTAGAAACAGTAGATAATGAGGCATTTCAGCTGATTATCTATTGTTTTCAATGCGTTCGGCACTCTAGTGAGAAGCGCCATATCTTTTTTTCTTAAAATTAAATCGAAGGGAAAATTTTTAATATTGATTCTTGACGTTTTTTTAAATTTTCTAAGAAACGTATCGATTTAATTTTTTTAAATTGAGGGAAAAAAATCATTATACAAATATTATCTTTTATGCAAAGTTTTAAAAAATTTCGCCGAAGGAACTTTTTAAAATGACCTGAAAAAGACAAATTTTGAGCTTTATTCTAAGCATGCTGTTGCAATGACAACATATTTTTAACACAAAAGTAGCAATTTGCAATGTTCAGGAGAACATTGTCAATGTGTCCAATAGATTTCGTTTTCATGTCATGTAAAGTAAAGAAACAGGAGTCTCCTGAATACTATAGTGTAGTAAATTAAAAAACCCTAGGGAGCCACCTTAACATCGGTCAAGTTTTTTGACATTCCCCATGCCTGCACTGTTAGCAGCTCAAAAAGTTCTGCCAACCAAAATTGAAAATCCTTTCGTGGAAACCAAATTATTTTTTCCCTGGCTTTGAATGCCACAGCCAAATGCTTTTTTAAAAGTACAGTAGCTGGCAAAATCTACCAAATTAGCCCAAATTGTAGCAATGTTAGGCCTACCTTGTCCATTAAATTAAATATTTTATTTACACGTTTTTCTGGCGTGTTTTCCTCTTCGGGAAGCGACACCATGTTAGACTGAAAATAACAAAATGATATATCAGTGCGTGAATACGTCCAGAATGACGATTTAGTTGAGGCGAATATCCTTGCACCGATTCACCGACTCTACTTACGGCTGTACACAGGCTACCACCAATGGCGCCCATACTATTTCCTATTGAGTGAGTGAAAATTACCTTTTGACATTTTGTCCTTTTTCTCCAAAAATTTCTATACAAGCATATCCAATTTTTAATTTTGGATAATCGCTGGGTTTTTTCTGATATGTGGCCGAGATTTCTTGCTAATCGAAGGACAAGAAGTAATAAAAAACGGCGGCTTTTGTTGTACAACTTGACCGACGTTTGAGCGATGATTTTTGTACAAATATACAAATATAAACAGTAATAATGGCGGACACCAAAGGACTCACACACTTAATGGACAAATATTATTCCAAAGATCGGTTAAACAACGAAATAACAAGAATCATCGCTCAAACGTCAGTCAAGTTGTGCAACAAAAGCCGCCGTTTTTTTATTACTTCCTGTCCTTCGATTAGTACGAAATCTCAGCCACATATCAGAAAAAACCCAGCGATTATCCAAAAATAAAAATTGGATATGCTTGCATAGAAATTTTTTGAGAAAAAGGACAAAATGTCAAAAGATAATTTTCACTCACTCAATAGGAAATAGTATGGGCGCCATTGGTGGCCGCGCGCTCGCCCCAATGTATTTGCACCCCCTGCAATATGGCGGCAGAAACCTTGGAAGGACGCAGCTCAATCCGATCCAGTCGAAAGCTCAGGGTGCGATAATTGAAATGATTATTGCTGCGTACTGGAGCTGGCACAAACTTAACTGAGACTCAAGGTGTACTTAGTCTTAGATTGAAGTACATAATGTACAGGTTTCTGAAAGGGATTCCTCCAATAACATGAAACTAGTATATAGTGTTATAGATTAAGGAGCACAATTGGATACACAAACACTAGGATGTCCTAGGATCGACTCTAACATTCCTTAGTCCCATCTCATCATATCATTGCAATCATGAGTTTACAATAATTCCCAGCCACGCTATAGACTTGCACATATTCCGAATAAGTAATGGTCTTGAATAACTTGGGCTTGGACACTGGACAGATCAAGTGGTACAAGCAAAATTAAAAGTTAGTTAAGTACGCAAATGGGAACAGCATGGCGTACCTACGTGGTGCGTAGCTGACAAAACAAAAGTATACCAGGCCGTAATATTAGCTACCTCCGGTACGTAAATATGCGAATTATCACATCCTGAGGCTTACTATATATAAGGGCGCCTCTGGCTTATGACTCATGTCTGATCACGGAGCACATGCAGCTACGGTGGAAGGGTCAGTTACGGGGATAATCCCAACCCACCCTGTCAACTTCCCTGTGGGAGGAAATCGGAGTACCCGGAGAAAATCCACTACTTTCGGTAGAGACCATAACTCTTTTCACATAAGTGTTATTAGTATAAATTCAGTATTGAAAAATGGCTTTAATTTCAAGCGTTCTAATTGACCATTTGCGTAAAAGACTAAATTTTGATCTCAACAAAAATTTCATCACAGCTTGAAAGAGTATCACAAAATTAGTAACATTCCAAAGTTTCGTTGCGAAATGTTGTAAAATGCGGATAATATAGCCTTGCGAAGTCTGCAATTTTCAGTCATTTTAGATTACAAACGGGAAATTGACAGCCCCAAACCTGTCGAGGCTGTAAATTTCCCGTTTGTAATCTAAAATGACTGAAAATTGCAAACTTCGCAATGCTATATTTTCCGCATTTTACAACATTTCGCAACGAAACTTTGGAATATTACTAATTTTGTGATGCTTTTTCAAGCTGTGATGAAATTTTTGTCTAGACTTGTCTAGATCAAAATTTAGTTTATTACGCAAATGGTCAATTGGTCCCCTCAGCAGTAACTCTGAGGCAATAGTTACTGCTCAGACTGCTCTGAGCAGTAACTATTACTTTCAAAACAAAATGGCTACCGAAAATCCACTTGCAAACAAATCATCGAAGAAAAGATTGAAGAAATTAAGGCACATATGTACTATTCCTCTAAAAGCAAAACAAGCAATATACATAGTGTTAGCCTATTTTGGAAAGACAAAAGCACCTTTTAGACGGCCAAAACAATTTATTTGGCAATTTAAAACCGGAAAATAACAGAATCCGGCGACTATAACTTCCGACAACTGGATTCGTTTGACTCAAAAGCGGAATTGCGAAGTAAATTATATTTACAACGTTTGTATATATTATTATTTTTCAATACTGCATTTATACTAAAACGATTATAGCCACCTCAGGTCATAGATATCTTATATACACTAGATAGCGCATCTCTTTTAGTAAAATTGAAGGCAACAATATTCCAGCGGTTACCCCCATTTGAATAGATGGCGGCCATGTTGGTCGTTCCCACTTGCTAATAAACGCTTAAAAACAACAATAATTTTCATCATTTGAATATTTTAAAAACGAATTTGGAATAGGGTTAACTTAATGTTTAAGTTCCCTGTTTAAGAAATAGAAAACATACGAATCTTCTAATTTCATGGGAACGACCTGAGACTGCAATCACGGCTTCAATTTTTGAACTTCAGAATAATTAGATGCACTATCTAGTGTATATAAGATATCTATGCCTCAGGCTCGGTGGTCACAAGCGAAAGTGAAGTTTTGCAAAAATAAGTTTTTTCAATATTTTGCCATATCTCACGAACTATTGGGCCAATCGTTGACGTATTTTTGACGTATTTTTGGATTCTTACTTCTTTTTGACCCAGTGAAAATAGGTTTGTAACCATCTCGCCTTCGGTGACTAATTGTTAATTACTAGTCCGACGTGAGGATAGCCCGCGTGCATGCCCACAGAGGGAACCCTCGGTGGGCCTGCACGCGGGCGAATGCGAGGATCGAACCATGCACAATCTCAGAGGTGAACGGCACTCATCTCACGACGGCGCCAACAAAGCCGTCAAGGTTGTTTTATAGCAACATACCACCATTTTGTATATTGATTCCACAATGTTGAGCATTTCGCCTCTAGTTATAAAACCATCATTGTCTAGGTCGTATAATTTGAAAGCCCCTATAACAGAGAGGAGGAAATGTAATTAGCACATACTCCGGAGGGGGATATTGCTTTTCGCGCGCAATTTGACATAAAATAAGTGTTTATCGTTTCATTTCATTTCGCGTCTCGAATGTTGGCGTTCGGTTTTTAAATTAAGATCATGCAGTGAAAACGTAATTAAAACACAAATGAATACAAATTTTAATATTCACATGCAATAAAAAGAGAACCGTTTTTAATATTCTCAAATTAAAAACAGTTCCTTTGTGCGGTATTATAATATTTAGCAGCTGTTTAATATTGAACATTAAACAGTTAGTGGATGAGGTTTCTGTGACATCCAGAATTATCAAAACCGCGAGGTAAGTAATATCAGTCGAGCCGGAGGCGAAATTGATAACACTTACCGAGACCTTGATAATTCGGGATATCACAAAAACCGAATTCAATAAATATTTTATTATAGATTGACGGTGGCACTTCACTTCGAGTAAAGTATATAACGGTGGGTGTCCTTATCCTCGTCCTGATCTTGGCGTCTCTCGATCACTTCACAGCGGGCAAGTCCGGCTCGGACATAGGATTCAACGTCCATAACTCTGAGGGCTTTCACTCTCACCCCGATGTCATTTCTCCAGCATTTTTGAGGGTCATTATACCTTTACGAAATCGCACGTGCCGTCACCCAATTTTGGCCACAAAGGATTTGCGTGATTTATTAAATGAAAATAAAGAAGTCTGTCAGTGTTCAATTATATATTATAATGCACATAGAGATCGCTTTTTAATTTCAGAGAATATTGAAAATTAACGAGTCGTTATAATTTTTGTCAATATTAAAAATCGCATTCACTTGTCAGATACGGTAAGGTCTCAAAAACCAAATTAAATCCTGTACGTTATCAGAGTTAAACTATGAATAAAAATTTAACATCGTCTTCATCCATGGTCAACGAACACTCTTGCGACTGCACATGTTTACATTTTATTATTCGCCTTGAGCGACCAGCCGAAGGGGCTCATTTTGTTATCAATATCATCGTATCTGTGATAACCATTTTTACATTCGTATCTGGCTGCGCGCTGAACACGCTTGTTTTAATTGCGTACAGAAAGAACAGGCAACTTCAGACGTTGTCCAACTTTCCACTTATGATCCTAGCTGTCACGGATCTTGCTGTTTGTGCGACCGTGCAACCTGTGTTTATCGTGAGAAGTTTTGCTGAGAATTACATAACCTTCCGTTGCTTCTTGTGGGCATCGTGTCGGCTCATTATTAATTTTGGCTTTGGCGTTTCTTTAACGACAATCGCATTAATAAGCGTCGAACGATTCATCAGTTTGGCTTTTCCCTTTCGCCACATGGAAATTGTCACAAAAACACGTTTGAAAGTCATCTTCGCTCTGTCGTCTATAGCAAGTTGGCTGAACATCTGCACGCAAAGTTTGGTCCCAGAAAGCAAGATAAAAACCGCGATCGTCAGCATTGTAATTATAGCTTGTTTATCACTTATCACGGGCACTTGGTTCTGGATTAACCGGCTTACAAAACGACACAGACGACAAATAAACGCGATGAACACGTCTTCGAACTTCGCAAAAATGATGCGAAATGCAAAAACATGCCATTTGGTTGTTGGGAGTAGCATGCTTTGTTTTCTTCCGACCTTAATTTCGCTCGTATTGCATTTAATTGTACGAAGCAAGCTCTATTTTATACACACACGCATCAGTCCATTCTGTCATGTTTTTCTGAACATCAATTCTCTGCTGAATCCTTTAATATTACTTTATCGAAAGAGAGACTTTAAAGAAACCGTTAAACAGTTCCTGTTATCGAAAAAATAGAAAATGATAACAGTCTCAAAAAGTTTTGACCTCAGTATATATAGACAATTCCCATTATAGACTAATTTTTTATCTTGGCAAAAAGGTATATTCCCGGAAAGAGCATATTAAAATGAGTAAAATTGCAAAGTTTGGTTGCGAAATGTTGTAAAATGCGGAAATTATAGCCTTGCAAATTCGCAAATTTTGTATACTTTTGTATTGGGTGCGGAAATTGCTACCACATTTGGGCAAAAATAGTAGCAATTTTCGCAACCAAACTTTGCAATTTTACTCAAATTCAGTGTGCATGCTGTCTAGCTGCATGTGGTGATTTATTTGCATCTCCTTGCCATATTAATAATTATAAAAGACCAACTAAAAACACTCTCATTTCCTGTTTCACTTAGAAGTAAAATTATTTGCGTTAATTGAATACCCCAGGTTAAGTTAACCAGGAATCTGGTCATATTTGATCAGGGGTCGATTGTATAAAAGCGTAACTACTTTTTAATTAACTTTGACCGTTTTGTAGTTAAATAGTCTCAAATACACGATTCTGATTGGTTAATTTTTGAAGCGGCCTCTGCTCTGGTTTATTTTTCTGGACAGTGAACTAGTACTCTGCAAAAACCTGAACAATAGATGGCAGAAACTGAAGCCCGTCTTGTAGGCATACCCTAGGCACCTACGAGGAAATTCAGTGAATTCTGTACGAAAATTCGGCATCATTTCGTGTAGAAATTTAATAATTTTTCGGCCGACTACTTTTTAAATCCGGCTTTACCGTGACCCTAAGTTTTGTGCCTAAGATTAGAAACTAGAGCAAGTGGTCTTTCAAAACAAGTTTAGAGATCGACTTCATCATAACAAGCAAAGTAATCTGACGAGTGATGAAAATGAAGTTCAGAAAAAATCCGAAGAGAAACACCAGCAAACGTTTTTTCTGGACTATCTACGGGGTTTGAACAAAACACAGAACAATATGGACTGCAGTTGGATCAATCTCACTTTTCATTTAGTTTTTAGCTTTTAAGTAGGGCATTTACCGTTAAAATGAGCATTTATGTGCAAAAATTGATAAACATTGATCTGAAAACCTTAGTAATTTCTCAGCTCCCGCGAAGCCCACGCGAATCACACGCGTGTTTTATACCTATAGTACATGAGATCACTCCAGTGAACTCTAATAAGACTTGTATTTGGGTTTTTAAAATTGAAGTTTTTTGATGGAAAACGACTTTCCTTGCTCATTTTCATCGAAAATAAACTTTCACTGAATTTTCCACTCCTCGAAACTCTCCTCAGTCCTTTTAAAAGTGAAATTTCCTCGCGCGGTTTGCTTCATCTTGGCTTCAAACAAGTATTGGCATGTTTACCTTCAGTTATCGTTCCAGTCTTACTAAAGTTCACTGGATCACTCTAATGACCGCCATATTTGATTTACCCAATCATATAGGGCCTTTTACCCAGGGCAGGAAAAAAGTATTTTCTTCCTGGAAGCACAACCTGGAGACAAACATTCCCTGCAGACCAACGGAGTATTTTTGTGCTAAATCTGCATGCGCACTATAAACATATAGTGTTTCTAACTGACCATGGTTTTAAATTCAAGGAATAATGTCTGTCAACCATATGTTGTTGCGCCCATCATAGTGGGACATGGCATGGCTGTTAAGGTTTCCTTCAAATTTTCAATAGCAAATCTTCATTCAAACGAATTTCCTGCAGCTGTTTAACATTTCCTGCGAGCAGTGCTCGCTATTTTTTCCTCCCCTGGATTTACCTGGAGGCTGCTCCATTTACTGTTCTAGAACATTTGGAACACTGTTCTGGAACGACATAAAATGGAGTGCACACGGCGTTCTGGAACAGTGTTTAGTTTATTATATACCGTAAAGTCTCGAAAGTAAGCGCCCTGCTTACTTTCGAAATTAGTGGCATCAAGGGCCGCTTACTTTTGAGGGGGCGCTTACTTTCGAAGGGGCCTACTTTCGAGTTGTTATTTTCAGCATCGGCCATTACGGCCGTAGTTTAGCACGGAGAATTATGATAATATACCGTAACAGAAATAAAAACGTTCTATATAAATGGTTATAGGAGAAAACACGTGCAGAAGTCGCTCCAACGGCGTTGCAAATGCGGTATAGTGTAAACTGGGTCCTTAAAATTACTGTTTCTACATGTTTTATCATGTCATTATTCGAAATGTTATCTTTATATAAATTGTTATCTTTATATATACCCTATGTTTTACAACTTTAAAAAACTTTTTTCGGGGGTGGGGGCGCTTACTTTCGAGGGGGCGCTTACTTTCCAGATTCTCTAGCAAGTGTTGAAAAAGGCGCTTAGTTTCGAAGGGCGCTTACTTTCGAGACTTTACGGTATGCGTGCAACCATGCATTACTATATATTCATTTAGTTATTCGCATAATAAATCGTATGATGATCTGCTGTTATTTGTATATCTAAGTATGCGTTTTTAACGTTTTTATTCGTTGATTTTGCCCAACCCTGGCGTTCAAAAAGCATATAATAAATATATGTCGATATATATAGCGGTTAACCCTTCAAACTAACAATCTATGCAGTGTGCATTGGATACACAAAATCAGTCACCTCCGTTTCCAATCACGTGAAAATGGGCAGTGTCACGTGTTCTGGTTGCCCCTACTCGAAAATCGGGGTAGTCAGAACAGTTCAGAACAGTCATGTGATTGTTTTCTGTTCCATATTCCATTAGTGTTCCGAAAATCTGGAGTACTCCGAACAGTAAATGGAGCAGCTTGCTGGAGTGATCGTTCCAGTATTTATAGAGTTTTCTGCGAAGCCAGACGTCACTTCTCACGCTAAATCTTCCGGCCGAGGACTGAGCGTGGGAAATAACGTCTGGGTTCGCAGGCTAACGGTTAAGCCCCTCCAATATTTTTTTCGATAATGGATTGTGTCTATAAACAAAGAGGAATAATTTCCAAAACATACACTGTAATTTCTCATCAAGACTCCCTCGCGAAGTAACTGACAATGCTCTAATAAATTCTTCAAATTCAATACTTCCATCCTATATATAACATGGAATAAACAGTATTAGCATAGACTTGGGAAGAGGACAGTGCTCTTTGCGCAACCCGATTGGTTGCTCAGTTTTGCTAATATCTCAGGGCCTTTTTTAAGAATTTGTCATTGGGGGGGGGCATCTACAGAAAAGGACCCCACTATACTGAGTGTGGAGAGATGCCTTTGACCTCTGAGTTCGTGGGTTCGGTTCTCGCAACGGACTCATGTGAAAAGAGTCTGTCAAGACTCTGCCGAGAGTCGTGGGTTTCTTCCTGCAGGCGCTCCGCTTTCCTCCCGCTGGGCAAGTTGACAGGGTGGGTTAGGATAAAAACAGTTATAGGAAAGTAGTATCATAATTGTTGTAAAGATAAATAGTCTAGGCTAAGTAAGTAACATAAGTAAGCGTACTACTTGATGAAAAGCCCCAATGGGAAGTGAGGGAATAGTAATAATAATAATAATGACATATGGTTGTTTATGAGGTTACAAAAGGCAAAGTGTGGTGTCGTATGTAATATCTCATTTTCCCCAGAAAATGTTTGTATTTTGCCACCCTATAAGACTGCATTTCGTGCGTTCTCTAAAACAGTTTTTGGATATACAGGGGCGTCGGAAACAATGTGAAGCGGCGGGGGCAGCCATTTCAACTCACTTGTTTCTCAGCCATCATTTTTCTGGGCGGCAATATTTGTTAAAACTTTACTGTATGGATGGATACTCGATTACCTGTGGCTATTATGGGTCGGCAAACTTTGACATTAATTTTGAAAAATTCTATTTATTGCACCGTGCTAATGATGCAAAATAAAAGCAGTAAACAGACGTATATTGCTCGATTTCGTTAATTTTACTGCAACTGGTTAAAAATTAAGCAAAGATTGCTTAAACATTGCTTACAAATAGTTCTAAATTCCAATTCCTGTAAACAACGCTCAAATTTCGAAGTGCAGTTCCGGCAAAAAGGGCAACCTGTTGCCCCCGTGCTGCCCTCGCACTGTCTGGGCAATGGGGGCAGTTACCCCCGCTGCCCCCGTGGCTCCGGCGCCCCTCTGGATATACAGCGTTACTGTACTCTATACTGTCGACAGACTATAGCAACAGTGATGGCCCAATTCACATTGGTGTAACGAAAGTTGGAATACGTATACGTCCCGACGTGATTGCAATGCATTTTTTAAGGATTCTTCAGTGGTGGGGCAAAACAGCCAAAGGGCCCATTTTCCTTGCCCTCCTCCCAGGATATAGTATATGCGATTGCCGAAGATGTGAACCTAAGTACCGCAGGAACGAGTTAGCTAGGGGGATCTAGGGGCATGCCCCGCCCCAATAATTTTTTAAAATTTGGATCTCTGAAATAGCATTTTCTGCATTCTGAGAACACATTTTTTACAAAATCTCAGCGTCTCCAAAACAAAGTCTCAATAGTGAAATTTGTAATAAATTGCATGCTAAGCATTCAAATACAACATAAGTCTAAGTATGCTCACCAACAAATTTTGCATTTTAAACTTCTTTTCAATCTTAAACTCATTTACTCAATACAGGTCCTAGGGCCCTGGCTTTGGGACAATAGGCCATTTTTTTTTCTTCAGTGGTGGGGCAGAGGAAGGGGCCCAGTGGGGCAAATGCCCCACCAGTCCATGGTATTAAAACATGCCTTGCGTGATTGGTTAATCACCAGACCTAAATACATCCCTCCCAGTAAGCTCCATGCATGCAGTCTTTTACCACGTTACGACACATATCGGATTGCACGGAATGGGATCGTGCATGTACCTCACAGAAGGTGACGGATGGTGAATTTAGTTTACCGATCGTGAACCTGGTTTCACGGTCCGTAAACGTGCACGTGGTGGCGCAAGATAGTACATGGTTCGATGAACTGAAAATTAAAACCATGATTGTCCCCATCACGCTTAATACGCATAGTTGTGTTCGGTGGAAATCTTTAAGACTATATATTTGAAGAATAATTGCCTGGGATATACCAGGGATCGTAATAAAGCCATAGTAGTTCATACTTTGCCATGTGAGATTCGCGTCTAATCTAGTTTTATATTAAAAATGTGCGCGCACTTGCATGTTAAAACATCTATGTTTCGATTGTTGAGCGATCATATTATTGGCACAGAAATCTTGACATATCTATCACTGTACCACTGTACGTCAATTTGATTGTTTGAAGCGCTTGATAAATGTGAATGTGGGCATGTCGGTAATATATGAATTTTTTGAAGAACAAGGCAGACATGTTTGTTGCGTAGTAACTTATATTTCTTTGATAGTCGAGTTACAATCTGCGTTCTTATATAATACAATGTAATTGTTTGATATTGTTTGAATCGCTTAGTGATAAATGAGAAAGTGGGCATGTATATAATATGTGAATTTTCTGAAGAACGAAGCAGACACATTTGTTGCATAGTAACTTAACTTTAAAAGTTGGGTTGCAAAGCCAATGTGTATTCTTATATAAAAAAAATAATATGTAATTGCTCATATTGTTTGAATCGCTTTATGTAATGTACTAGATAATTGAATTTTCCGAAGAACGAAGCAGACACATTTGCACATCATCCTTGTGCCATGCATCAAATTCTTCAAAGAATTCCGGAATGTTAGTAAAGTTTTCCAAAACCGAGATATAAGCCAGTTGGGTGGCAATATGCATTATTATATAATAAAATGTAATTGCTCATATTGTTGGAATCGCTTGATAAATGGGAAAGTGGGGCATGCATGTAATGTATGAATTTTCTGAAGAACGAAGCTGACACATTTGTTGCGTAGTAACTCAATAATTGTTTGATAGTCGGGTTGTAATGTGCATGCGTTCTTATATAACTATAAAATGTAATCGTTTGAAATCGCTTGCATGAAAAATGGGCATGTAATATATATGAAGTTTCTAAAGAATGAAGCAGACGAATTTGGATGAACTGTACTGTACAATATGTATCAGTGTATTCATGAATTATGACCGTTCGACTCATCCAATTTGCCCTTCATAAAACAAAGTTTCTTTTGAAGCATTCCGTTAAATTAACAGGGTAGCTAGTACATGACGCAGCAATGAATAGTTTTCCAATTTTACAGAAAAACCGCGTTCATACAGTATATATAAAGTGTAGTCCCACGCAACACAAAAAAATTCACTTTGAAAATGTTCATGCACGTTGATCTATTACTTAACCTTTCTCAAGGGTGCATGAAAAAATCTCAGGGGAGGCACACACCGGTCCTATAGCTCTCCTCCAATTCCGTTAATGGAAAACGGACTTTAATGGCTAATTCCAGCTTTTGACGAAATTTTGATCTATAAACAAGAAGAACGAGACCCATTACCATAGCTGGCAAGAGCATCTTAAGATGAGTAAAATTGCAAAGTTTGGTTGCGAATTGTTGTAAACTGGGGAAAATGTAGTAATGTGAAGTTCCGGTAAATTTTGTATGTAGCCTATTTGCTTTACGCACGGGGAAAATAACCATTTTTGAGTCGAAAGTGGTTATTTTTACCGCGCGTATAATACAAATGTAGTACGGCAAAATTTGCGAACTTCACAGGGCTATTTTCTCTTCATTTTACAACATTCTGCAACATGCAATCATCGCAGTTTTACTCATTCTATAAGACGCTCTTTCTAGCTGTGGTGTTGGATTTCGTTCTGCTTGCCTTAGTCTAATCACCCATTATGGCTGAAACTCTGGAAACCTCTGGAACGCTGCGGTCTAGGCTAATTTCAAAACACCCATAACGCCTCTTAGTCACCCGTTGTAAAAATCACTGACACATGCATGCACTAGGACTAATTGCTTATTGTGAAAAATCATAATACCTTGTTCTCGTCGAAAACATTGAAAACGAATGCGGCAAATTCCGAAGGATCGCCGTACGGGAAGAACTGTTTATATATGCCTGCAAATTCCTGTTAAAAATAAAATTGTACATTTATAGAATTAATACTAGAATGTTCTAGTCAAAATATCCCAGTGACAATTGTTTGAAAACACAGTTGTATTTAATGTTTTGTAAATATCGTTAATAAATGATGATCAGGAGGCATTGAGGATACAGTGCTCCATGTTCAATAAATTAATGCATGACAATGTAGTTTTATAAGCGGGCTTTTACTAATCACCAAGCATTATCATGTATATATGCAGCAGATCAGGCGTCTGATCCAAACTGCCCATTTCAACAAGGAGGATAGACAGTGAGACAATATAGGCAATTCCAGCTTTTGACTAAATTTTGATCTAGGCAAGAAGAACAAAATCCATCACCACAGCTAGAAAGAGCATGTTAAAATTACTAAATTAGTAAAATTGCAAAGTTTATGGTTGCGAAATGTTGTAAAATGCGGAAAATATAGCCCTGCGAAATTTGCAAATTTTGGTATTAATAGACAATTCCCATTATAGACTAATTTTAAAACTAGGCAAGGAGATGCAAATAAATCACCACAGCTGGAAAGAGCATACTAAAATGAGTAAAATTGCAAAGTTTGGTTGCGAAATGTTATAAAATGCGGGAAATATAGCCTTGCAAAGTTCGCAAATTTTGTATACTTTTGTATTGCGTGCGGCCATTTTCGGCCTAAATGTGGTAGGAATGTGGTAGGAATTTCCGCACGCAATACAAAAGTATACAAAATTTGCGAACTTAATTTGCAAGGCTATATTTTCCACATTTTACAACATTTCGCAACCAAACTTTGCAATTTTACTCATTTTAGTATGCTCTTTCTAGCTGTGGTGATTTATTTGAGTCTCCTTGCCAAGTTTTAAAATTAGTCTATAATGGGAATTGTCTATTGCCGTATACGCTAGGGAAAATGCACCACTATCGACCTAAATGTGGCGCATTTTCCCGTGCGTAATACAAATTTTAATACAAAATTTGCAAATTTTGTACGTAGGGCTATATTTTCCTCATTTTACAACATTTTGCAACCAAACTTTGCAATTTTACTAATTTTAACATGCTCTTTCTAGCTGTGGTGATGGATTTTGTTCCTCTTGCTTTGATCAAATTTAATCTACAGCTGGTCAGGAATCATCCATTGTACGAAGCTGCAAGAAGCTCGCGACGTATTGCATGCCTGCATGAATAGCTATGGGGATCAGGAAGCATAATTTCTAGGAAAACTTTCAATTTTATAGAATACGGCAAGAATGGTCATTTCCTGCATTTTTATAGAGTGAAATTTGTTTTTGTTTTTGCCAAATCCTTGTATATGAATTCTTATTTTATATCTACACTAATTCTTATATAAAGCACAAAAACTCAATTTTAGGACTGCCAGCCATTCTAATGCATGGGAGGCCTTATAATAGGATGACCCTTGCAGAAGATGCTAGTCATCCTGCAGTTGTTACCATGCAGAGTGAGAAAATAATGCTAATTCTTTTTCTTGGAAAAATAGATTAATTTGAGAGCTATTAATAATTTAATTTTGTTCTACCCATCGCAAATACAATCTAAGAGGAAAATATTGACACTATATGAAAATTGCTCTAGTAAAACCAATATTATGACTGTTTAAAGTAACTGGGACCACAATGGCCTGGCAACAAATTTTTTATTATCTCATTTGAAAGAACGTTAATTATCTATAAAATCTTGTTTACAGCCTTTTCATATCAAGATTTACTCTTGAAATACTTTGACTGAAAGCAATGAGTCAGCTATCCGCCATCTTGGATTAATTCTTTAACCTCGTTAACTTTCATTTTGATGACATCAGGAGTTGGGGAGTAACAATCAAAAGTTGCTTAATTCAATTCCAAATTTGAAATAGCAACCAACGACGAGTTTCGGGTTCATATAGATCATTGGCTTTCAAACAGACAAATCTTGCGTGACGCTACTTGTGACGTAATATGCTGTATATTTCTTCAATAATCCAAGATGGCGGACATTTCATTGCTTTCAATCAAAATATTTCAAGAATCAAGCAAGATATGAAAAATCTGCAACGATTTTGGTTCGGCATGTGATAAGCACAACATTTAAACATCGCCCAAAATGTACCTCTTGGTTCAAATTACCATTAGGACAGTCCTTTAGGAAACCTTTGTGCCTGTTGGATGAAATAAAAATGTTGATAGAAAGCTTCTTCACCAAAGAATTAAACCCCAATATGGCAGTAGAAAAATGTGTCTATAACGTTGTTTACATGCATCCTTAGTGATAGAATTATAGAATATAGGAAAATTACAGTTACTTAAAATCTGCACATTTTTGCATCTATATTAAATAAACGTATACTCGTATAGGATGGGTCAGGATGCCACGTACTCTCTAGGGGCTACATTGGTTTATACAACGACTCCGAGGCAGCAATTCTCTTGCGAGTAGGAGTAAAACGTGATCGATGATTCTTCCTTGGTTTATAAAAAAATTTCCCCTGAATGCATTTTGTGGAGAGGTACGGTTGAGCGATTCCAAAACTAGCTATACCACCTGTCGTTTGCATTATTTTATATTTTATGTCCTCCTATCGAGGTATAATAACCAACTAGCCTAATCTCAAGGCCAAATTCGCCATTTTTGGGGTACTTTTTTAAAAAAGACGTGAAAAGTCTTTTAGCGATATGAAAACATTTTTTCAAATATTTAACTGTAAATTAACTTATAATTATTATACTCACAATTGAGTTATACAAATCCCTTAGTCACTGCGTATACAATCTCAGATTTGGAAAAGGCAGTACCCCAAAAAATGGCGGCGCGAGAAAGGCTAATTGTTCAACAGAGTCTCCTGTTCAATACTAGACAATAGTAGTCAGAGACGGCTATTCAAGATTCAAGGCACGGTGTAAAAATTTTAAAATTATTTAAAAACAATAAATTTGCAAAATGTACCAAAAACGAGGCTACTATACAGTACTAGTCGGGCTTGTTTGCTAAATCTAGCACAAACTCTGGTATTTTTAAGATTTAATTTCTCAAAGAGAATATACATCAATACACACATATAGTGCAAACTCGTTTATTTAACCACGCTGGCCTCAAGGCTGATTTCCATGAGGGGCGTGAAATATAGAATTAACTATTTACAAAAAATAAATAAAAATATGAAAAAATATAAAATAAGACCAGATTGCAGGAAAGGGAACAAGAAAATACGATGATTTAAAAAATTAATGCACGATCATACACGAGCAAGTTTCAACTCATTCTTTGTTTTAATATCGATTTGAAAGAGCTTAAGCCGATCCAGCAATTTTTGCCTCATGGGGAAGATTATTCCAATGCAAGGCACCGTTATAACCGAAGCACCTCTTGCCGAATCGGCATATATAGGTGGTGCTAAATCAGTTTCCATATTTCTGAGATTGTATGTATTATCACTATTATGTCCTTCATTATTAGATTGAAATGCTTCTTTAAGATTGGGTGCGGTGTGGTCGGATGGATGAAAATAGAGTTAAGGCCACATAAAATAAATTCCTTGATTCTCATCACTACACTTTGAAAATGTCGAAGAGCCGGGAGGTTTATATTTTATATTTATATAATTTATCATCAATAAATAAAAAAATAATTCCTAACATTTAATATTTCTGTGATTTCCAAAGTAAAGTACCACAAACCGAAATAAACATACGAAGTTCCGTTAAAATGCAATGAAATTTCTTTCAATGTTCTATTTGTTTGAAATTGGCCGTTTAAAATGGCAATAAAAACCCAATTTTAAATATAAAAAACTTAACTGTCTTGAAATATTTTGTCGGGCGGTACATTTATATTGTATAACAAAATATAAAAAAATTTCACGCGGCTCTTAAAATACAGTCGGGCGGTGATGAGAATCAAGGAATTTATTTTTATGTGGCCTAAGGTAGTTTCGTTTTTCAGTTCGACAGGTTTCCAACTTAGATTCTCGAGTAAATCAGATGACCGATATATTTATACTTTCTAAAACTAATTTCGGAAGGAAAGGAATGAATCTGTCTATATACTGAGTGGCCATGCAAGATTCAGTCTAGTCAATGGGGGCGGAAAAATCCCAGGAGGGCCGCCCCTGCACTAGTTCGAATAAAGTTTGTTACTTTGTTTATTATGTGAAAATGTATTTCCCACGGTAGCCATGCCTAATATATAGCACAATGAACGTTTAGGGGGGCCGGGGATACGCTCCCCCGGGGAAAATGTTAAATTCTAGTGTTATTCATAAAGTGCTATTCATTCAGCATTTTGGGGGCTAATAGCCGAATTCATATTAGAGACGGGAAACTCGTTTAATATGAATCCCGAATCCGGGGGCAGACAAGTTTCCCGTCCGAACTTTCCCGTCTAACTTCGGGAACCCCATCTGGACGGAAAACTCGTCTTAAATTCGAATTTATCCGTCCCTAAATTCATATTCAGACGGGTTTTGACAGACGAGTTTTCCGTCTAAGACGACTCGGTTTCCCGTCCCCGTAATATGAATTCGGCTATTCTAACGTGCTTTGGTGATTCATTAAATAACCATTTGGCACATAACGACTCTACTTAACCACGAACGAATCTAGAACATTTAAAACATACAAAGATATAAAATTGCCATTACAAAAAATAAAAAATAATGCCGCATATGTTTGTACTGGTCAGAATTTTTCCAAGGGAAGCCCAATATTTTGACAGGCTATAGTCACAGTAATCATACACAGATCCGGTTCACAAATTTGCACGATTCAGTTGCCGTGTGAACTCTGGAATAGGGAAGCGGCTGTCGAATTCGAGGACAGCTATAACTGTCTCCGTGCTAACAAATGGACCGGAATTCGTGCTGTATAATAGTTAGTAAGCACGTCAATTTACTGTTAGACAATATGTCAATAACGTACACATTATATTCTGTTTGACCAAACTAATTCATTTAGCCAAAAGCTAAACAATAGAACATATTGTCGAATTGCGGAAATTTGATATACACCCCCTTAATATTGCTTTACATTGCAGGAATATTACTATAGTATAGGAGTATAGCTATCCAAAACAAATTTATTCAATTGGATTTGCCTGCCACTTCAAGCCGTGAATTATATTGCGCTTGGCAACAAGCTGTTACAGGTTGTATTCGCTCTGCTTAATCTTGCTTATCCGCTATTTATCAGCCGAATTTAGCCGAGATTTGCATGCAGAAATACTGGAAATTTTAGCCTAATCGATTCATGCGATACTCACCAACGCTGTAGCTCTTTTTCGGTAACTAAAACAGCAAAATGGAGTTATATAAAGTAGGTTTATTGCATTTCTCTACTAAATAATAAATGGCTGACACGTTATTAATTATACGCCAACATACAAGAGTATTTTTAGGCAAGCTGTAGTTATATACTCACAATATGTTTTATTAACCAGCTCTTGGATAACTTCGGGCTTTAATTTACTGGGTTTTTTGCCCATTTTGATGGGGAAAATTGGCGAAATTCTGCCGTAGCATGTTATACACGACAAGCATCGACCACAGCAAGGAGCCTATTCGGCGAATACACGACTCTCAAAACAGCTCTCAAATTCGTAAATATCATGTTTAATTATTCATTGTTTAAGATATGGGGGCGTATATTATGGACAGACAAGAAAGAGCTCCATACCCATGCACATATCTTATATGCTGGTACTGAATTAACCAGTCAGAATAAGAGTCGTATGAAACTCAAAGGTCATTCATGAATCCTGGGCGGGAGACATGGACGCGAGATGAACCGCAAGATGTGTTACTAATGGAGTAATGACAGTTTAACCTATTTTTGTTGTTCTATATTAATTAAAACCACAGCTAGCAGCGAGAACGCTGCGGGCATAACTAGTCGAGTCTGAAATTGATAACAAATTAGCTATAAACGAAGCTCGTTAATATGAGCATGAATTCGAAAGGCCTTGAATAGACAAAAAAAGAAGCATTTGCGAAATAGACAAATTTGATTAACGTTATAGTCAGTATCCAATTCGCAACTTTAGCGTTCGCGTGAAAAGTGGAAACGATTCAGAAACGGTCACAATTAGCGGTCGCATTCCCACCGATGCCGAAGAGATATGTTACTCTATATCAGTCACGGTATCGGCCGGCCCGACAAAAAAGGAACCGGCTAACTAACTCTCAAATTTTACGAAGATTTTCAAACCGAGCTAATTATTAGTGGTTAAGATTATTTGAAATTGGTCTAGCATACCAACGTTATGGCTTTTTTTATAATATTACTGGTCTGGTACATCCGATTCAATGGACTCCATTTGAGCATAAATTGAAATCATGCTTAGTTTAATGATAACACTAATAATAGGTTTGATAACCCCTCTTTAAACAGCCATAACAGACCTGCCAATCTCAGAAACTGATATATAAGTCATATAAGGATAATTCTTATTTAAACACTTAATTTGGCGGGAAAATTGGCTGTTTAGAGGGAGAAAACCCATTAAAGTAGAGCAGTCAGATTAGTGTCTCGTTCAAACTCCTAGCTACACTAGCTCTCAGCACAAGAAGCCCCTTGACTAATGTTAAATTGGGCACTATCTCGGACTGAAAATACGACATGAAGACGTGTTTTATAAATACTTCAATTACTACTATTTATACTGCAAATAAATACTTCAATTTTGACTTTCCGAAAGTTATAGAATCTAAACTGATTTGTCCCTTTTACAGTTTTACTTGTCTCCTATGCATCCGCGCGTAGAAACGACAAGAAATCAAGATAATTGCCAGTTGCCAATACCGCGAGAAATCAGTTTTTCACTGCCGGGAGATCACAGGTCTATACCGGGAGACTTCCGGTTAAGTCGGGAGAGTTGGCAGGTCTGCCACAACGGATCAAACGCAATCTCTTAGGTGCTGATTACACGATGCCGAGCTGGCCCGGTTAACCGAACTGACTCGTTTGTTTAGGACCTTACTGTGGTTTTGAAACTCGCGTAAAATAAATTTGCGATAAATAATTGGTTTATTATAGATGCAAAATCATCCTAAACCCGATTTAAAACTCATTTTGCAGCCCAAGGAAGATTTTCGTGACATTTTTCAGCCCGGTTAACCGGGCTGGCCCGGTCCATGTAATCAGCCCTTTAGTCTCTTAGATCGAATTTTCGATTCCCACTATAAATCTGCAACATAGCTGTTGCATTTTTTCCGAACACCCTGGCTGTACTACTATTAATATCGGTGATTTGTCCGCCGTCTTGAATTGTCCGCCATTTTTAGATCAGTGATGCCACTGCCAACCTTTGGGTTCGGGATGGAACGCCTTACTCGCAGATGGATGGCAGGCCAATTTATGCGATGTAAACAAATTTCATAAAAACACATGTGCGACATCGCATTAATTCCGAGTTTCACGTCTTATAAGAAAGGTCTACGCGAGGCTGGCAATTTCACTGTTAATTTTTGTTTTGCATTTTGGCTAATGAGTAAGGCTCTACTTCAAATATTGCTGGAAATTTGTAAAAAAAAGGTCGATTGATTCACCTATGTGTTCGTTGATATATTGCTTTCAGTTGCCCCCCCCCCCCAGAAGAATTAAAGTTAAGCAAATTTGAAACGTAAGTTGTGCAGAAAAAGATGGGGGGGGGGAGATAAATTTAAAAGCAAGATACTGTTTGATGGCCCTCTTTTAAATTAAACAGCCAACCAATTTTAATAATCTTAGTGTCACAATTAATCTCTTAGATCGAATTTTCGATTCCCACTAATAAATTTGCAACATAGCTGTTGCACTTTTTCGGAACATCCTGGCTGTACTACTAAAATCGGCGATTTGTCCGCCATCTTGAACTGTCCGCCATTTTTAGATCAGTGATGGCACTGCCAACCTTTGGGTTCGGGCTGGAACGCCTTACTCGCAGGCTATGGATGGCAGGCCATTTATCATTTTATATGCGATGTAAATAAATTTCATAAAAACACATTTGCGACATCGCATTAAGTGTTTTTTTTCCGCGTTTGACGTCATTATAAGGTCTATTAGGGTGACAATTTCACTAGTGTTTATTTCTGTTCTGATAGATACTGCATGCATGCATGCATGTATATGTTAGACTGACAATAGCTGAAAATGCAAGAAATATGTAATGATATCAAAAATTTTAAGCCCTTCGAAAATCCCCGTAGACAAGAATTCGTACGTAGTTTAGGGTGGAAAATTTTTTTTGACAAGTGGGGCAAAATTAAAAGAAATTGGGCAAATGATTGCTTTATTGCTGGCAAAAGCAGATATACATTCCCTGGTTTAAATTTGGACAGCGATCAATAAAAGCTTATTACATTTTATTTTGTAAATGAGAATTAGATAGTATGTTAATTAACTTTAGAATATCGTAACATCTCCTATTTTAATATACTATAATATACTATACACCTATACACTACAGCTAAAACGTATTTGTTGCTACAGTAAGTGCTACTTAGTAATAAAACATTTCGTTCTACGTTAAAATGTTAAATATTTAAATAAGGTTAAAAATACTACGTTAAAAAGCAACGAAATTCATCCATTTTAATAAATGTATTGACGTTCGCCACGCGACCAGGCCTTGTCGGCCATTTTTTAGTGGCAAACCGCATGCAATTTACTACTCTGGGCTCACTTGCCTTGTGACCAGGCCTGATTCAAGATGGCGGACCTCTTGTTGGAAGTTATTTCACTGACCTCACAAGACATTTCGTCAAAAAAATTTTCTTCAAGATTGTTTTAGAAACAAACTTGGAGTAGGGTTAGGTTAGGGTAAGAGTTGGTGTTTGGAATAGGGTCAGCGTCAGTAAAACCGTTGCTTTGTTACGTTTTGTCACTCTGAGGCCAGCGAAATATGTGAGCACTCGAAAAAATGCTTTTTATGCAGTAGTAATCTCCCCTCCATCTTGCATGAAATTGCAAAATAAATAGTGAGTCCAAATTATTATTTTGTAAACAGCACATGGGAAACAAATGCATGAAGCAACGGTTATAAGTACAAATTATATTTTCGCTTGTTGCCGTCCCCTATTGCTGCGCCACTCAAAAATAGGGAGTTTACGAATGTATTAAGACCGCGCGACGTCAGGACGACGGCTAAATAAACTGTTTGAAATAAATTATTGTATGGAAGCCTTGTCCTGTATGTACTTTCGTATGAATTTAAAATAGCTTCTAACGAATAAAACAGAGCTTTAACCTTCAGAGCAATGTTGATCAACTCTGCTGGAAAAACTGTCACGACTTGAAATGCTGGCGTACTATACAAGACGTGAAAATATGCATTTTGCCGTTGTGAACAGAGCTTGGACGACGTCAAGAAACCCTGCTATACTTTTAATTATTCATTTCTTTTGTGCCTATAGGATTAAAGTCATTGTATTGATAGTCGTCCTGACGTCACCGTCTTACATTCGTAAACTCCCTATTGGCGCACAAAGCCTGGTCGCATGGCTACAGAAACATTCCCAAATTAAATAGAAAGTTGGCATATGATCTGCAGTAAAATATAATCATAAGAATTACAATAATTTTCAAATATTCTTGGGACACTTGCGGTTTTAAATCATCAATGGATGTGTGCAAATTATTATAAACATTTGTATCCCCCACTCCATTCAATGTTGTTTACCCAATCCAGCTGACACTATCGCCAGTATTCTAAAAGCTCACTCACACTCAATGAGTGGAGGTTCAATCTGAGCTTCCCTTGAGTGTCAATGCTGTTTTTGAATAGCAGGAGGGTGAGTAGTCACATAGTACGGTACGGCACTAACCCTCCAGCTATTCAGAAACAGCATTGACACTCAAGGGAATCTCAGATTGAACCTCCGCTCATTGAGTGTGAGTGAGCTTTTAAAATACAGGCCCAAGTCTATAGCACACCAAAGTAAGATGCCGACTGAGACCCAACATTGAAAAGGGGGCGGGGAGGGAGCATCTGTCCCAATACATTTGAAAATTATTGTAAAAAATCATACGTTACTTATCTTACAACAAAGTGCCCAGGAATATGTTGTTTTTCAAGATGCTGCAAGATTGTCACTATTAACTTCACAAGACGTTGAGCAAACAGTCGACATGATATCGACTTGTTGGACAATATGGACAATATGGTAGCAAACAGAAACAATGCCAACAAACTATTTCAAGGCTTAATTTTTAGATCAGTGGGGCCCAAGCAAGCTAACAAATTGGGCCCCTGCAGCAGCTTTTAGAGACCCAAGCTACTCCAGCATGGATTATTGGTTTGTGGACACTATTATGTCTTGTTGCTGGCAACAAGCCATTTATATATTCTCAACAATCTAGACGCATGTGGTGTTAGCTCAACTTGACATCGACCTGTTTAATTAAATAAACTTGTAACAAGTTATTAACAGCCTGGGAACAAGCTGGGCAAATACAATATTCCACACAATACGTTTTAACAGGTGTCTTGCTGTGCGCCGTAAAGATTACGTAGTTTTGAAACTGCAAACTTGCTTTTTGTGATGACGACCTGGCGTTTGTGACGACGGGTTCTTTCGAAGTAATTTTCAGCCATTATCACCATAGAAATTCTGTACCATGATCTGCTTTCTCTTGCAGAACTAAGACCCAAATTTCTTTCCCCCCAGATTTCAAGTACAAGATGGAAACAGAATCCATGATATTTTCGTGGTCAGTCCATAGTCCAATTTTGCAATGGTCATATAAATATTACTTTACATAAATAGGCTTATTTGAATAAATAGAATAATTCTTGCCGGGACCTTTAAATAAGAATGGAAATTATCAGTTATGAAAATCATACAAAAGTGTCTAGGAGTGAGTTTGTTTTTAAGCAAAAATAAAATACCTGGGCTGGGTTCCTATCTCTTGTTGCAAAAACTGAAGTAGCGTAGGTCGGGATTTTTTTCTATTTTTTTTATAAATGCTGCTGCATGCATGAGCATTGCACAAACATTCGGTGAATAATATATCAACTTTGAGAAACACGAGTTATAGCTACTATAGTCAAAACTAACGCCATAAACTGGGTACGAAAAATTGCTCCATGCTCTTTGCAAACTTCAGATAAAAAGATTAAGATCGGCGATCAATTAATAGTTAATACAGGGTTCTTTCGCTACAGTGAAGATGAAATTAATGCCTTTTCCTGGACTTTCAAGGATTTTTCTAGTAAAGTTAAGGACATGCATGCATATTACTTAACATACATGATTGTATATTCGTAAAAAATCCATGAAATGAATTTTACTTTTTGAAAGAACTAACAATAAAAACCTGATTTTCAAAGACGTATCCGAACTAAATATTATCACGGTTGAAAAGAAAATCCTAGAATTTTAAGGAATACCCTCGATTTCTTTAAAATTCAACGGCCTTTCAAGATTTTCAAGAACCCTAGGAGAGCTGTAACACATCAAGGTCTTGCTTATATATGAGGGTAAATCTCACCTACCGTTTGTTATTAGCCATCCGTGACTGGTTGGTCGATATCCTGAGGCAGATCAATTGCTAGTGCTTGTACGATCCATGGATCACATTTCGAGCCTTCTCGAAATTCTTCCATCGTTAGTTTACCGTCTTTATTCTAAATGAAGCAACATGGATATTACTTATTAGCATATACTCCGGAGGTGGATAAAGCTTTTCGAGCAATTTGATTGGTTGTTCAGCTCCAATATTCGCTCCGGGCTAAAACAAAATGTCTGTCCGTTTTGTTTCGATTATGGACGAGCATTTTTTTGCCAAACGAAGCTGGGGTAAACACAAGAAAGCCACCGAACACTTTGTCTAACAATATCTAGAGGTATTTTTTACAGCTATTTCTGAATAAGATTACTAAAAGCTTGTACATATACTGGTTTGTCTACAACTATACGGGGCAGCCGAGCTGTAGATACAAATTATTTTTAATTAAAAAATATTTTCCTTGTTTTTTGGTCATTCTTGTTCTTGCACTGATGAAGATCCGAGCTTTAATACCAACCAAAGCTTTGCAAATTTACAATTTTTTTTTTTTTTTTTTTTTTTTTGGGGGGGGGGGGCAGTTGCCCCCCTCCCCCTGTCTCGTACGCCTATGATAAGTGTGGTGTTTTGCTTAAGGACAAATCATTTACAAATAATACTTACTTTGTCCATTTGTTTGAATATTTTTTCAACTCTCTTTTCTGGCGTATCTTCATCCTGTGGTAAGTTCGCCAAATTTCCCTGAGAAACACAAAAAAGGACTTGGTAACTCTTAACTGAGGAACTGTTCCTGCTATATGGGATAAAAAAATAATTCATTTGGTATAAAAAAACAGGATACCTACCACCATACAGTAAATGGCTTCGACTATTTTCAACATTTCCGGCCTGGTAATAAAACCATCTCTGTCCAAGTCATATAGTGAAAATGCCCCTGAAATGTTCGTATCACAATGGTCCAATTTAATTTAGTGCTAAATTATAAACCCATACACTGTAAATTTGAGTTCAATCAACGCCAAAAATGTTATTCTGTCATCAAAAACGGTGACAGAATTAATACATCCTATGCATATGTACCATATTAAAATATTTCTTACATTCCAATTTTTCATCTAAACTTCCTCTAGACGTGATTGATAACGCTGTAATAAACTCAGCAAAGCTGATTGAACCATCCTAGAAAACAAGAAACACTGATGAGTCACGTTTTATCAACATGTCGCTCAAATCATAGCCTATCGAAGGGAATATGGCTGTGAAACTCACTAGAATAACAATATAACTCATTATCTATGTTGGTCAACTTTTATTCATAAATCTGGTCGTTTCACCATCACGTGTGTATTGCATTTTTACCAAATCCACCAATAGCAATCTCCAGTTTCCCTATTGTTCGAGTCACGGATAGGTGACTTTCCTAAAACATTGCTATTGGTTAGTTGGGCAAGAATACAATACACACGTGACGGTGAAGGACCAAATTTATGAATAAACGTTGACCAACATAGATAATGAGTTATATTGTTATTCTAATGAGTTTCACAGCCATCTTCCCTTCGATAGGCTATGCTCAATTATTATATACACAAGGTCTGGATATGAGGTATTCTGCAATCTGATTGGTTCTCTACTAGCATGCAGGATATTAGCTCATATCCTGCTAGTAGAGAAAAACAAAATGGCGGCCAAACTGAATTTACGATGTTTTGCAAACGAGAAAACGGCAAGTTGTCGCTTTTTATTGCCTTCACAGGATTAAAAACACAATGAAAAAACTCCCACAAATTGTTTTCAGGTTAGCAAATAAATTTTTAATATTCAAAATGGTTGAAAATATATATTTTTGAAAAAATAATCGGCCGAAAGAGCGAAGATAAAAACATAAACAAAATAGAAAAATATTGAAAAGTATTCGAAAAGCAAAGTCTGTGAATTCAGACCTTGTGTATATAATAAAACAGTTATTCCACTCACTCTCGTCGAATATGAGCGATAGCCGATTCGGCGCTACGCGCCTCATCGGCTATCGGCTCATATTCGACTCGAGTTCGTAGAATAACTGTTAAATGTACTGTAGCCTAATTACCTAATACAAATTAAAGATCACATAGAGGAAAAAATAGGACATTTAACTACTAACGAATACTTGATGATTTAACTTCAAAACCTACCGCATCTCTATCAAAAACTTTAAAAACAAACTGGGAAAAATGCGTTGGGTTACCAAATGGAAAGAATTGTTGGTATATTTTCTGGAATTCCTAAAAAGAAGCAAAAATTACAACTTAAATGCTTTAAATCTTGAGCAGCACAATCTCAATTCATGCAAATTTTAGGTTGGAAAAGAGTCAGAGTTTGAGGAATGAAAGAAAAATAATTTAAAATTCTGTAATTCAAACTAAAACACCAACCCAAATAGCATAATTAATAACCTAACTCCTGTGAGCCAAGGCCGGATTTTGGTGGACATTGTGGGGGAGGTGAAAAAACATTTAGGGGCGGTGCAGCTGTCTAGCTCACGACCTGGATGGAAAGTTAGGGCTTAGAACGGGCCAAAGTCAATGACGTAACGTATGCATGTAGTGTACATATTAATGAATTATACTTCAAAATACTCGGCTCAATTTAACAATGCAAATATGCAATATCTCTTATGACTGTACAACTCATCCAATTTTGCCCTTCATTACAATAACTACAAAGTTTCTTTCAAAACATTGCATTAAAAGGATACTTGACACAAAGATGAATGGCTATCACTGTTTCAAGTTTAGGGACCGGTCATTATTTATGGCGGGGGGTGGCACCGAAGAGAAATGTTTTCCGTGTCAAAAATTTTGCTGACCCAACCATTAAAAAGACAACAATTTGATTACCCAACCTCAAATATCAATTAAAAAATAACTACCCACCCCTGGCCAAAAACTTAACAAAAGGATACCATTCAGCATAGACGGATTTTCATATTTATTACTGGGGTGGTGCCAGAAATTTTAGGGGGGTGAGCCGTGAGCAGGTGACTGAAGCAACACAAAGTGTCACCAAACCCCAGTAAGGTCTATATTCTAGGGGTGGAGCACTAGAGCCGCGAGGGGGAGTCTAGAGAGCAGAAAACAAAGTATCCCTGGAAAATATTTGAAAATCATGATTTCTAGCTTCGAAAAAAAGTTTTTTGAAGTTGTCAATTTGTCATATCAATGGATTTGGCATGTCCGATTGTCTGTTAAGACTTGAGAGAGTTAAAGACTTAAAGTTAAATGAACCTATAAAAGGTAAACCCAATAGGCTAATACACAATATGCTTTTACTTTTATAAAGTCATCGACATTGTGTTGTTTGAATCCGAGTACAATTTATGATGCAACTCCGATGTAAATAATATTTGGGGTGTAAAGATTAAATCTAGGCAAGTCTATTTCCTAAAAGAATTAAAAACTAAAAATAGTGTTCGTAAAAATTCCAAACATTCCTTGCGTGCAAGCTATTCGCATGACAATTAGGCACTGCAAACTCTATTCAGGGAAGATAATAGAGTTTCAAAACTTTACAATTGCTCCAATAAACCAGTGAATGCAAGCGAGGAGCGATTAGTTTCAGAGTGTTGCACTGCCTTTTTCTGTTCCAATGTACTCCTACGTTTATTTTGTATCATCAACACTCACGTTGGAGTGGACTGTTTAATTATTTATTTATTATGCCGAATATTGGGGGGAGGGTTGAACATTTTTTTGGAGGGGTGAACATTTTGTTGGGGGGTTATAGCTAATATTGGAGGGGTAGCACCCCCCTGCACCACCCAGAAAATCCGTCTATGCCATTCAGTTGTCATACATGTCCTGTATCACTTCAGTGACATGAGTTTGATAATGGCTTGTGAAATTTTCTGCAGTCTAAAGTTTCATGTTGTCTACACATGTACTTTCTTTGGAAACACAATTTGTTTTGTCGAACTATGGTGAAGATAGTGACTCTGATTGATTCACATATTGTATTGACAAATGACTGTTGACATTGCTTTTCTGTCTCCAATATTTCAGTGGGTCATGCTTTGGAAATGACAATAAATTTTTGTTACCCAACCCTTGAGTTGTTTTGTTTTTCATTTACCCAACCTTTTACTTACTCAAAATTTTGTTTACCCAACCCTTTTCTCTTCGGTGCCACCCCCCGCCATAAATAATGACCGGTCCCTTACAGAAAAACGTTCTTACGAAGTGATTTCCACTTTTTACTTTGATCTATCATAATAATTGAAACTTTCCCAAGGGGAGGTGGACAATTGCACAAATTCTCAGGGGAGGTGCAAAACAATCTCAGGGGAGGTGCGCCCCTCCCCACACCTCCCCTCAAAATCCGGCCATGCTGTGAGCAGACATGCAGATTACATTTCTGTTAATTAAAATCATAGTCTTTATCGGAAGCTGTGTTAAAATACTTTGGGTGGAGGTAATGGACAACTTGCATGTTAGACTAAATTTTAATCTAAGCAGAGAAAAGGGAATCAAACACCACAGCTGAAAAGAATATACTAAAATTAGTAAAAGTGCAAAATTTGGTTGCGAAATGTTGTAAAGTTTGGAAAATATAGCTTTGTAAAGTTTGCATATTTTCAGTATATTTGTATTACGAGCGGAAATTGTTACCATTTTCGGCTCAAAAATGGTAACAATTTCCGCACGTAATATACAAATATACTGAAAATATGCAAACTTTACAAAGCTATATTTTCCAAGCTTTACAACATTTCGCAACCAAATTTTGCACTTTTACTAATTTTAATAAGTTCTTAACGGGAATTTACTTTTTTTTTGTCTAGATCGGTTAGATCAAAAATTTGTCTAACATGCAAGTTGTCTATTAAAAACATGTACTTCATGTACAAATATTTACTAATATGATGAAAGAAGGCCAAAATGTAATGCTAACAGTATTTCAAAATGGTAAATTATAAATATTTAGTCTATAATTAGGATAAAGAATTACAATGATCAATTTATTAAATATTAACCCATTGAGCGCCAGCACCCTCCTCTTGAGAAATAAACTCATCTGGTGTACGTTAGATAGAGTTAGATAGTCAACCCATTAAGGTGCAGGGCTTCCCCATTAATTGACAAATGAAATCATATGGCGTTAGACAAGTAAAAGAGGTAGGGCAAACTGGGGCGCATTGCGGCTCAATGGGTTAACTAGAGACATTGTCATATTTTTTGGTTAACCCATTAAGCTGCACTCAGCTTCCACATTGATGAGTAAAATCGTCTGGCGTTAGACAGGTAAAAAAATAAGTACTGGGCACACTGTGGCTTAACAGGTTAATTGGAAATTTGTGACTTAACTCATTGGGCGCCAGCACTCGACCTGCTATTGACTAGTAAAATAGACAGGGTAAAATAAAAAAGTATGGCACATATGAGAGTGCAATGCAAGTCAATGGGTTAACTTGAGACACATATGGGCAGATAGTCTGGTTAATAGTCCACTGAGCACATGCTTGCAAGCATGCTCCCCTGATGACCAAGTAAAATTGTCTGGTGCTAGACAAACCAGGGTGCACAAGGCTGCAATGCAACTCAATGACAATGAGTTAAGGCAATTTACATCATGCATACAGGTCCATGGGACCAAAATTTAAATGTGCAACTTTTACACTGAACGCAAGAAACTTGGCATGTCAGCTGGTATATAGACATCTGTCATGACAAACTATGCAAAGATAATTGTCTGCAAGCATGTGTAACAGACAAACTAGACAATTCAGATAGTATAAATTTAGCCATGCATCATGCATAAAAATTAATGTCATATCATCATTGTGAGTTTTGGAACAATCAGTAATTTCTGATTATGAAACAATATAGATGTCGAGCTGTCAACAACTAGAAGTCTCTCTCCTGTAAGGAGCAGCGCTGTTGGGGTGATATATTACTGTATGTATGTCGCTCATTCGATTTTCAAAACATTGAAGTAATATTGTAAAATTTTGTGTTTTTTTTTACTAAATTTTGTTATGTTGAATATGCATAATTTTAGACAGGCCATTTTGACGCAATGTCACCTCTTGGAATTAATACACTAACAGTGCCGGACTGTTCCTTCTATAGGCATATGTATTTCTGAATACATCATGAGGGATATGAAACAAAGAGAATGTTATACAAACATGAATGCAATACAATTTGTAGTTAAATGACTAAATAATAGGTGATTGTTGTTGATACAATAATATCTAAACGATTTCCAATGCCTCTTGTGTGGAATCCTCCACATTAGCTATTAATTGTGTTTTGCTTTGAAAACCACACATTTTAATTAAATTACAGTTTCTGGACTGTTACTGTCAACACAGTACCTGTCACAATGCCAAGTTCACAATTGCACTGGCAACCACAATTCGCACAGATAAGAAATTCATGCATTGATGTTAAAATGTTTGACAAATTTCGGTATGTCACTTTTCGTTTCTCAGTAAACAACAAAAGACAACCTAATTGCATGCATTTATGCAGTATTTGTTAGCATCTATTATCAGATTTTGGCCAGCTGCTGCATGCAATGGAGCGTACTAGAAGACCTAACTTTCTATAAATTAAAATGTTTCAAATTTTACATTTCAAAAATTTCATTTGAAGAAAAAATTTCCTCAACTAAATACACAAAGGGAAGTAAGTTTCGGCCAGCTACCTATTTAACAAAAAGCACAAAATGACCACAGTGCAATCAACGAATGGCTAATTGTATGGGCAATTAAAAATTTAAAAGATGCTCTAAAGACTTGCAGATTCCACAACAACTTTTGACAAGATTTAATTTAGACTAGATAAGAAATGGCAAAGTTTGTTTACAATTCATAAATAAAAGAGACAAGTGTAATTCTTCAAAAACCATATTCTTAATAAAAGATACCGACAAATTTATCCAACCCAATTAAATTTATCCAACCCATTATTAAAATCCAACCCAACGAAAACGACATTCGGTAGTTTTGATAGTTACGCAAACCTATAAACAAGCTAGTATTTCAAATAGCAACTAAAAACGTTTTTATGTTAATAAATATTATATTAATACAAGCAAACACTTGCAAATTTGCATCACCTGATAAATATATTGACAATCAAACTCAAAATTCTTAATATTTGGCAGTCTTTATATTAACTCAAATAGCTTGTAGGCAAACAGTTGTATATAATATCGCTTGTCCCGTTCGTTTTTATGAAATAAATTTTGAAATTTTACTTTTTCAGTCGATTTCAAACTGATCGTATATGTGCATGTATTAGCTATTGATATGCTTTATCAGATGTTTTTCACAGACAACTGGGCAGCATTCAAGATTTGTCATATATTTTTTAATACAGTAAGCAGAAAACTAGAAACAGTTAAATTAAGATAAAAAGTGGGAAAAACAAAGATTATGGCAGCAATATAAACGTGCATCCTAGGGTTAATATTAATAACTCAAATAAATAACTCATTTCCGGCATTCATTGACAAACGTGTGCAGCATTTTACATGTAAAGTACTATATATATATATACACACAAGGTTTCCCCTCTGTGTCTTTGTCAAAATTTAGAATTACCTTGTACGGTAAAATATGTTTCATATTTTACGGGCAATTAGCTATAAACGTGTCCAAAATTGCTGAAGATGGCTCAACCACTTTAAGCGATAATGGCATGTTTAAAATTTTTTTTCAAAATATCGATTCTCAAGTAGATTTCGATGACATGTTTTGAAAGTTTACAACAAATATTTGGTTTCAAAGTACCTCCTGCTTCAGTTCCCCTGACGGACAATCTTTCATAAAATCGCGGTACCTACGACATAAAACAGAACAAAGCTTAAACAAGTTTCTAGCATTACAAACAAATGTGCGAGCAGCGACCACTTTGAATACATTTTTACACACAAGTTCTTATAAAATACGTTTGACAGATGCCAAGATGTGTACATGTACAAATTACAAAAAACATCGGATCCGTACCATTTTTGCAGTTCCTTCTTGTCGACTGAAACAAAAAAAATGGAGAGAATATATTTATAAAAGCCATTAAATTTACCAAACAATGCAAAAGCAATTTGTATTCGAAAGAAAACACGCAAAAACGGAGTAGCAGCAGATGTCTCGCGCCAGAATTAAGCATGCGACAAATTTGAAACGAGCGGGCTACAATCAAAGATTACGTACAATATGTGCTCTTCTGCAGCTCTTTGATTTCTTCAGCAGAGAGTTTGCTTGAATTTCCACCCATAACCGTGTCGTCTTGGACGTGAAACGGTTGAAAGCGACTCGTTTGACAATATCAAGGACCACAAGCCATAGTTTTGTCTTTGTTGTGATTTGGTTCTTTACCACATCCGCTTGACGCGTGTCGCCCACGCAAGGCGAAGCGGGACCATAGCGGGACGTCCACGCGGTGATCTCTCTTTAGAACTGGAGCATGCTTGAATAAAATGATCGAAGTTCTGTTCGTGGTACACATACTGGGCAGGGTTGCCAGTTTGGCGTTAAAAGAGCCAAATTTCTCGATTTTGGCTTCTTTTGATTTCGTTTGGCTACTAAAAATTTTGTTTGGCTTCTTTCTATTTTTTGGCTCTTTTTGGCTTCTTTTTGAATAAATACTGAAATAAGCAACTTTTCAAAAATAGTCTGCCATCCACCAGTAAAAGTTAGTTATAGACTCTGCTATGTTCGATTACATTATCTATTTATCCGGGATTCCGGATGTACGTAAATATTCGATCGGAATTAGTACCCTCTCCCTGGGTTACGCAGTTCGCCCCGAACGGCGGTAAAAAGAAAATGATAAAATGCTCGTTTTTTCTTCACTGTTTTTCGGTGTTGAACGCTTGAATTCGGAAGATTTACTCTAAATATCGATTTTGGCTTCTTTTGGCCAGATTTGGCTACTTTTTACGTTGCATTTGGCTCTTTCGGGCTCAGACCACCTGGCAACCCTGATACTGGGCCCCTGACTACAGGCACTACATGCCTAAATATTTATTACAGGATTGATGATAATCGATCTTTAAAGCTTTCCAGTTTCCAGTACAGAGCTTCGTCACGAAAATAGGAATAGAATTTAGGAATAGCAATATTGGGGGGGGGGAGTCAAATTCACTATTTGTGACTTTGGCGGGAAGATTTCAATATGGCGACGTTTCGAACAAAGTAACTTCCATCTTTTTCTAAATAAAAGAGGCTTTATTATTGGGCTATTTTACATAACAGGCAAGGATGAAAAGAAGTCTTTTATAGTATTTTATTTTGAATGCTTTTCTTTGATTATTATCTAAAATAGATTGGCTTTTTTATAAGCACGCACGATACAGTATTGTTTTGTTTTCTGACATAATATTTTTATTCTAAAACCTTAAATTACAGAAAGTTCGTAGCAACGACAGTATGGAAAATAGCGAAGAAAATCCAATTTTACCAAATACGTTGGAAAAATATTACGAAGATATTGTGAAAACAGCATTGGTAGGCGAAATATATTGACAGCCGGGCAATCACACAAAGATAGCTCAGCTAAAACAAAGAAAGTATTTTGGGGAGGAAAAATGGAAAATGTTTATACGTGGTTTTGCAGCACGATTGCATTTTAGGTTTAAGCTACTGTAGTTCTAAGAGGGTCTAGATGGGGTGGTGCCCAAAACAGTAAACATTTGATTTTTTAGTAATTTAACAGTAACAGTAAAAAATTTCACATAATAGTAAAATTTTGCTAATTTCACGAAGACGTAAAAAAGCACTTAATTATATGTAGGAAGCAAATGCACTGCAGTCTCTAAGACCATCAAAGACATATTTTGCATATTTTGTAATTGGCACACCAGGCCCATATGCACATGTGCTGGCCTGCATGAAGGCAAAGATGCAGGTGCTGGGCAAGGTGACAAGTAATGTAAAAGCTATAAAGATCTGTAAGACCTGTAAACACACTCTGACATCGCTTTTAATATAGTTTCGTATTCTTTTGTCTGAAATTTAGTAGTTTAAAGCCCTTTTTGAAATGCATTAGACTTTTTATAGTAATTACAACACTTAACTGCGAAGTCTTCCATGACAGTAAACAACAAAATATTTAGCGTTTCAACATTAAACACTATAGAATATGGGCCGTCAACACTTAACATTAAACCCCATCTAGACCCTCTTCTAACTTCTAAAGTTTGATTGAATTTTTATTAATTACATTTATAATCACAATAGTTGATTTATTTTTGTGCGAAAAGGCTTGATTAAACGATAGGACAACCCTCCTGAAATCGTTTTAAAATAGCTCAGAAACTTGCCAAAGTTTAGTCAAGTTACTACAAATACAACTAACTACCGTAAACCCCCGACTATAAAATACAAAAGAACAGTAACTCCGAATAACATTTTGTTTTGATTTATTGAATCTACGTTTCGACTAGATTGTAGTCATAAGCCCCGGGCTTATATTATTTCATAAACGATTTTTGATGGGCTTATACAGGGGGTATTTACGGGGGGGGCTGAGATATGGACGATTTTGTGTTAGTGTAATAGATATACAAGTATAAACAAGTGTTAAACAAGCATAGTAAAAGGATAATAGTGATCTTGTAATAGTGATAAACAAAGTGTTATATAATCAAGTGGGCTTATACCATATGGCTTATACTTGGGGGCTTATATTAGGCTGGGATTACACTATACCGGATTGATTTTCATACCGGATCAATTTTCACACCGAAGCCAAAATCAAGGGTGTTTACACTATGCCGCTTCGCTCTGTCGCCAGCTCGTATCTTTTATCGTTGCCACGGAAACAAATAATAAGTTTTGACCATTTTGGACGTTTTCTCGACAGTACTTGTGAATTATAACTTTGTTTACAAAGCTTGACCACCCGACGTTGCTTTGTCTCGCTCTTATCGAAAATTGACGAGTATTTCATTAAATTTTGCCCTTTTGAAAGCAAGAAGTCAATGTTATTACCGCTATCTTTATTTGTCTTCGCTAGAAATAATAAATAATTGTAAAGCGAAGCAAACAACAGCTATAAAATATTTAAAAGCGAGTATAAAATAAAACGACAATCTTAAAATATACTTGCCGAAACCTATTTATAGTACCGGAGCGTACCGGATTGCTTGATTACACTTGGTTTTATCCGGTACAGCACGTACCGGATTACTTTTCATATCACCTCCAAAGCGAAGTGATTTTCGCGCCGCGGCACGTACCGGATTACAGTGGCGTAGTGTAAACAAGAGGCCAATCCGGTACAGAAATCGCGTCGCTTCGATGCAATCCGGTATAGTGTAATCGGGGCCTTAATCTCCGTCGCAGGGACTTTCCAAAAAGACCCTGGGTACGAGGATGGGCTTATATTTGGAATAAGGTGAGCGTTAGTACATGTGGTGGGCTTATATTCGGGGGGATTATATTCGGTAACGGAAAAAAAACTTGTCTGTCATATATTCGCTAATCAGGAAAATAATATTACAGTTTTATTATGTTAGGCCACATAAAAAAAATTACTTGTTTAGCGTCCACCCATTTTAATTTTTCTAGGTCGGGCGGGCGGCTTGTTTTTTCTTTGTTTTTTTTTTCGTAAAATGCAACACAAAATTCTGCAAAATGCAGGAAATCCAATATATTACCACAGTCAAAACTCACTTTAATTCTTTCAAAATCCGTTCATGTTTTTTAATGACCGTTCATGTTTTTAATAAAACAGAAAATTACCGTTTGGCGGTCACGCGCGAACACTCTAGCTGCGAACAGGCATATTCTGGGAAGGAAACTTTGTGTAAACGTATTACATAGCTCCCAGAAGAATAAAATCACCATTTTTTCAAGTAAAACGGTCTTTTTTATAGAGAGTTTTTGCACTAAACTCGGATGGATTTAAAAAAAAAAAAAAAAAAAATGGAGGTCGGGGACTTTTATCAGGTCGGGCGGGGACGCTAAACAAGTAATTTTTTTTATGTGGCCTTAATACAAATATTTATATTACATTATCATTCAAATTTCAATATATTAAAGTTGTGAAACTCATTAATAATTCATGAAAACTCAAAAGAAATTATGACCGTGAATATCTGATAAGAAATCACACTTAAAGTTTATATGATTTACATAAACTTTAAGTCCAATTTTATCACCAAATGGCAAATGTCATTTACTTATTGTAAATTGTTGAAGAATACGAATATTCTCATCAAAACGTTTCACACGTCATTTATGCCCGTGTTGTATCGGATATACAAAATAGTACATAAATATCAATATAAATATTATTAGTATTTTTGCACAAGTAAACATAACAAATCCTACAAATTGATTGGTCAAATTTTTACGTAATAAGCTATTATATTCACCTATAGGTGAATATAAGTATATAGAAATTAAAATAAATTCAGTCCCAAAAAACACAAAAATACTAAAACGATTATTCGCCTCAGGCTCGGTGATTATCGGGAAATATTCACCTCGACTTCGTCTCGGCGAATATTCTCCGATAATCACCTCGCCTTTGGCAAATAATTGTTAAATATCCGGGGTCGAAATTCGCGCTATTCCGTTATTCCGTACATAGTAATATACCTGACGGAATAGTAAACTTCATGATCTCAGTATTCCGTTTGTATAACGGGAAAAAAATGTGGTATCAATATATAATATCTCTATAATATTATTATATTGAGTATTATATTGTTTGCAGGCAATATCCATAATCAGAACCAAACCCCAGCACATGAGTGGAAAGGTCTACGCCCAAGTCCTGAACACGAAATTGACAGAGAACGAGAAACATTGGAGATCAAAGGTATTTGTGATGAGTCTAAATGAACTCGAGAAGTGCATCCAGAAAAGCATTCTTGTTATTTTGCAGTGTTTTACCATTTTGACCCAGGTAACATATGGTCAATGCGGCCTTTAAGCTAAAGGTCAATTTCCACCGACAAAAAATTTTCCACCCACAGAAAATTTTCCGTTTAATATCATTGTTAGAAGAAAAAAATTTTCAACTTCAAAAGTTTTTCTTGGCTAAAAATCCTGCGCCAAATATCTTGCTGCTAAGAAGATCTGCGCAAAATTCCTAGTCTCCCTCGCAGACGTTCTTATAGCTCTAACCCTCGCTACTGCGAGGGAGACTACAAAATTCCTCAATTGTAAAAAAACTGCAAACATTTTCAGAAAAATATGTACAAAGCATTTTTTCGAAGGAAAAAATATTCCCTGGCAAAATAAAACAGTAGTAATCATTAATCTGTTCTCACAGGTTCAGGCATTAGAAGAAGAGTTGTTATCAGTGAAAGAAGAGTTGATTAAAACGAAATTCTCATTGCCTGTGGAAGATATTGCAGCCTCGCATAATGAAGAAGGTGCGCAAAGAATTGTTTTTGATGGACGAAGTAATATTTCAAATCCGACTATGTGAGGGCTGGACAAGATTTCAAGTCCGCGAAAATTGATTGCGAGTACTTGAAATCTAGTCCGGTCCGAATTGGAGGATTTGAAATGATATCTCATACGAATAAATCACTACTTAAAGTGAGGTGAATCAATTTTGATCCAGTCCAAGGATTGGATCAATATACTTCACCAGGTATATATAGGTTATCATATAAGGGATGAGGTGATATCAGTTTTATCGCTCGAGGGATGATATCACAATTGTCACGAGCGAGCGCAGCAAGCGAGGGACAATTGTGATATCGTCCCGAGAGCGATAAAACTGATATCACCGAATCCCGAGTACGATAACCTATTTATTATATACTTGTACCTTTATCAGGGTTTGACACCCAAAAGTAAACAGTTTTGATTTTTGAAAAAATAGGATCATTTTAGAATTCAAAACAATTCATCATTTACTGAACAAATATGATTTTAGAAAATAAATAGACCATTCATATAAATAATATACAATTTAAGTCTTTCATTTTGTATTATCGTTCTTGTTTTCTTCGATAAACTCTCGACATGGAAGAGGTTATTTCGCTGGCCTCAGAGTGACAAAACGTAACAAAGCAACGGTTTTACTAACACTAACCCTATTCCAAACACCAACTCTAACCCCTAACCCTAATCCTTACCCTAACCCTAACCTAATCCTACTTCAAATTTGTTTCTAAACCAATCTTGAAGAAAAAAGTTTTGACGAAATGTCATTTTGAGGTCAGCGAAATAACTTTTTCCTCTCGACATCAACCAACACGAACCTCAAATCGGCCATCTTTGTTTTGACAAGGTGCGAAATTTAGCGGGACAAAAAACGATATCCGGGACAAAAAACGATATCCGGGACAAAAAACGATATCCGGGACGATATCGTTTTTATGTCCCGCTGCTTCCTACCTGATAAAGGTACAAGTATGTGATAACTAGTATTATCATGTGAGCAAAATAAAGCAATATGGTTGGCTAATTTAACCCTGGTCTAAAATAAACGCATCTAGTTTTTACATGGTGAATTGAAATCGTCACCGTATTTCTTTCATGTATTTATAGACGAAGACACAGTAGATATGGAGACAATGGAATGTTTGACACCGCCATGTTCCAGTGAATCTAAATCTGATAAACTCCAAAGTAAATATATGAGAAATAGTCATGCAAAGTTCTTGAAAAGTAGTAAGTGCAATGATGATATGGTAATAGAATATTTATTCATTTATTCGTAAAAGCAATGCTTTAAAAATGTTTTCAACAATATTTTAATAATAATAATAATATATGGGAAATAGTCATGCAAAGTTCTTGAAAAGTAGTAAGTGATTGTGGTAATAGAGTATTTATTAATTTATTCCTAAAAACAACGTTTTAAAAATAATGTTTTCAACAATATTTTAACAATAATCATAATATATGGGAAATAGTCATGCAAAGTTCTTAAAAAGTAGTAAGTGCAATGATTATGCATGGTAATAGAATATGATTAATTTATTTTTAAAAACAATGCTTTAAAAATAATGTTTTCAACAATATTTTAATAATAATAATAATAATAATATGAGAAACAGTCATGCAAAGTTCTTAAAAACTAGTAAGTGCAATGATTATGGGAATAGAGTATCTATTCATTTATTCTTAAAAACAATGCTTCATGCAAAGTTCTTGAAAAGTAGTATATTTATATACAGGATAGCTTTATTTATTGTAGACTGCATGTTCTCACAGAGGTCTAGTGGTCCATTGTAACGAAGTACCGGATGAAACCTAAACTGGACTCAATTTATTTATGCTAGAGGATATTACTAGCTTGTTTAGTTTAGATCTTGTATTTGTCCTTACTCCTCCACTGCTATTCTTGCAAAATATACTTAAAGTGGAAGTCAAGGGGACCTCTAATGTAAACATTGCCCAAATTTCGAATGTTTCGAATTTTTCTGAACATAAACTCTATTTCACGTTCATTTAGAAGCATAGCGAACCAAAACGGTGTTAGATATTCAGACAGTACATCATATTTTAAAAAAATACAGCAGTTAAAAATGTAAACAAACCGTTTGTTTACATTACGGACTTGACTTCCACTTTAATTCTTCATTATCAACATTCGTGATATCATTTGGTTTGGAATTCCACTTGCATTAGTCAGTGATTAACTGACTGTTCCTCGTCGAGGCAGGGACGTCGCTAAGGCATCAACATTGGGGGGAGGGGGTATCGTCATGTTTTGACCAACATTTATTTGACCAAGTCGTAAAAACGTTTCCCAGAAATGTTATCGAAGGGGGGGGGGGGGGGGGCAAAACATTTTTCGGACTAATTATACGTATAACCTTATTTAAAAATCATGTTTCGCTCGCTACTCTGGTTTAAATAAATGATTATACAAAGCCCAGTCGAATTGTAATCAAGACCCAACGTTTCGACACTCCAGTCTAGTGTCTTCATCAGGGGTGATCTAAAACTGCGATCGTGGCTTCTTAAGCTCCTCAATCTCGTGTTTGGGTATTTAAGAAGCCACGATCGCAGTTTTAGATCACCCCTGATGAAGACACTAGACTGGAGTGTCGAAACGTTGGGTCTTGATTACAATTCGACTGGGCTTTGTAATCATTTATTTAAACCAGAGTAGCGAGCGAAACATGATTGATATACCTGGTTGCAGTGAACGAACAAACTTTACATTTATTTAAAAATGTTTCGACCAAAGGACAAAGTGTTAATGAACGTGACCATAAAACAAAACAATTATATTTCTTTTACCATGTGAATCTACAAGGTCAAGGATCTTATTGTTCTTTATAACAATGTATATCAAGATAACGAAATATCTTTAAAAAGCACAATACGCACTATTGTATATTGAAAAAACCCACAAAATGCTTGAGAACTCTCTTCCTACCTCCAAATTACGGCAAATAAAAATATTTCGAAAGTTCTTTAAATCTTTGTTTAAAATTTAGCTTTGGCATAATTGCCTGAATGTCTGTACAAAGTCTTGTCTTCTGTGATACTTGCCCATGGGCATGGCCATGTTCCTACAGACAGAATGTCTGTACTCCCCACAAGCTTGCAATAATAGTTAGTTATATACTTATAGCTACATTGAAATTCTTCAGAGAGATGTATTGTGTTCTATTTGGGTCTGCAACTTGCGAGGCGCCCAAAACATGCGAGTCAATGCACTGATGAATAATGCATTGAAGCTAGGTAACATTTTAACATTTAAGTTCCTGTTCAGTTAAAAATTTTCACATCTCACACCGCAACTACAGCTGCCGCTGGCAAGATTCCTGAATATATATCATGCAGTTAAATGTTTCTCAACGAAAATCTGCCATCTTTTATGTCCTCTCGTCAATCGTTGCGAAGTCCGGCTGATCAGTCGAGAAATTCATGCAGCAGTGGGAAGCTAGTTCATAAATCAGTGTTTATTTCTTAGTAAACTAGTCCAACGTTGTACGTGCGAAAAATTCAAAAGAAGCGTTGGCTATTTCAAATATTTCAATAATTATTTCAAATAATAATTCGATAATTCAGTAATCACGATAATTAGCAATTATTGAAGGTAATTGGCGACAAGTGCATCTATCACGTCTGGTTTCTGTTTTGGAACACTGTCAAATGCTTCCAAAATATGGGAAAAAATTCCTGGACAGATTAAATCTTTGCCATTTTGTAGTTTCAAAAAACAGTATAAAATGTTTCTTCTTAATAGTCAAGTAGAGTTACATGACAGATTTGACTAGACTTATATGTTATTAAAAAATGATATTATAGTAATCATGAATATAAAATAAGTTTTGTAAATTATACTATACACTTAGAAACCCTAGGACTAAATACTATAGAGATCAACTTTTTTTAATTTAGTTTTAAATACTCAAATATAATCTCATAATGGTAGTGGTCAACTCGAAAGCTTCTGCTCCTTGGACCACTACGCACTCTTCATCAGTAAATACATATTATGAAATACAATGTAAATATATATATATAGTATACTAGTAATACATAATCTTGTAAGAAAGAAAATAAGTGCAAATAAAAAATAAAAAACTGATTCTGAAATGAAACTAAAATATCTCAAGAACGAAAAATAATAAGCTAAGCCAAAAGTTGACCAGTGAACTTCTTTTTACAGTTTTAATTGCTCTTTCTGCCTATAAAATGCTAACATGAATTTCGTTGTCATTGCGGTGAACTCGCTTTTTTCATGGCCATGCCCATGGGCAAGTACCACAGAAGACAAGACTTTGTATAGACATCCAGGCAATTATTACGCCAAAGCTAAATGTGGCTAAACAAAGATTTAATTAAAGAACTTTCGAAATCTTTTTAGTTGCCGTAACAACTTGAAACCGTTCCTAAGGTGGTACTGTCATTGAAATTTTTTTATTTTCTTAAACGAAAATGCTCTGAAACTTCTTTTGAAAATTTTTGTTCCCATGCTTAGTTCTTGGGATATTTCATTTTGTAACCATGTGACGTCATTTACTCAATTACATATATGAGATATCAGTAACTGTTGTGTATCTTTGCTATTTTTTATCAAAATCTTTCCAAAGATGCGGCGCGTTTGTTAATTTAACCTACATCATTAAGCATACTGTTTTTTTAAACAAATCTGTCAAAAATATCAAAGATACACAACATCTGCTGATACCATTATACATGTATTATATATGTAATTGAGTAAATGACGTCACATGGTTTGAAACGAAATGAAACACCCCAAGAACATACCACGGGAACCAATTTTTTCAGAAGAAGTTACTTTACAATTTTAGGAGTTCTTTCATTTAAGACAATAAAAATTTTAGTGAAACAGTGTCACTTTATAATTTTACTTATTCTTCACAGTCGTATCCTTGTGGAACGCTCCACAATCAGCAGCCATGTTGAAAGACACTGAATTTTGTTGTCATCTTCTTACGACAGTCATTCAAGCCGTCACTGGTAAGCAGTAATTGTCATTTATAACATTGATTAATAAACAATCCAGACTTTTGTAAAACATGTAAGGGCAGTTCATTGCAGGAATATACCTTACAGTTTATTTACTTTTCACCCAATGGCCTCGTTTTCGTGTCAAATACTTACACATGTTTTGTGCTTAGTAGTGTTGACAATTACTTTGTTATTGAGCCTAAGAACAACAAGAAACAAATTCGTCCAGGAAAACATGGGAATATAATCTTTATTTGCCCCTGACATGCTAAAAATAATTTAACGTGAAAACGAGGCCATTGGGTAAAAGGAAATAATCGGTAAGGTTTATTAACAACTTCGTCCTAATAAGATATTTTCTAAACAATATTTGACATTTCTAACCAATGAAATAGTTAAATAATATTTAACATTTCTAAACTAATATTCAACATTTCTAAGTAATCATTTAAATTTCTAAAAACTATTTTAATAATATTTAACATTTCTATGATGGAATTTTATTTTGAGATTTCTAATAAATTTAGGGAATAATATAACATTGAGACATACTTTATTAAAATAATACTACCGGGTGGCCCAAAAAAAAGTACTCCTGTTTGATTCGTAATAACATCTAAACAAGTATAGCTTTTAAAGAGAAATAACTTGCATCAAATAGAGGAAGGACTAACTTAGACTTTGATATATTACAGTTGTATTTCACTTAAAAATTCACGGAGATATTAATCTTTAAATTCGGGAGGATATTTCTGGATGTGTCTAAAATATGCAAAAATCGGCGTATCAAATATTAATCAAGATTTGCCCGACTGAAACATGCACTATTACCAGTAAATAAATGACACTTGACAAATTGTTTATTATGAAACAAAGTATTATTATATCTACAAAATACAAGCAAGATTCATTCGTCCGAAATTCGCCATACAACTCCATAAGACATAACAATTAAGCAACTCCCCAGAGACATGCAACATTTTTGGAACAAAACGTAACAAAATAGTAGCGTTGATACGGTGATGTGTATTTGCAAAAAGCAATATTATTTCCTTCAATAAAGAATATTCATCCTGCTCTAACCGAGAAATAATCTACTCAGTCTGTTTGAACCCATTAAAAACATAAAAAAATTAGGCTATTTAAGAATACGAAAAATGTAAGCGCCTGCCTTCCATGGTCAGTCTTTCATGTACATTTAAGTTTGCAAAGACCTAATATTAAATACTTGCATAATTTCGAACGTTCATATTTCAGGAAACAATGAGCTAAGACTTACATGTAAGATGTCTAAATCTACGCCATATCACTTACAAACCTTAACGATAATTCGCTGAAATACAAGTTAGCCTAATATGTCATTAAGCAAACAAATGCTGGAGTTAATATTTGATATGCCGATTTTCGCTAATTTTAGACACATTCCAAAATATGCTCCCCATTTTTAACATTAATATCTCCGTGAATTTTTAAGTTAAATACAACTGTAATATATCAAAATCTAAGTTAGTCCTTCCTCTATTTAATGCAAGTTATTTCTCTTTAAAAACTTTACTTGTTTAGAAGTTATTACGAATCAAACAGGAGTACTTTTTTTTGGGCCACCCGGTATATTCAGGAAATTCGAGGGAATTTCCCTTGGGAAAGTCCCTTTTAAACAACAACAGCTGACGCAATTTCAGTAACTTTCTAGTTGATTGTGTATAAAAGTGCGGTAAAAAGGTGAAAAATACCTTAATACTGATATTCTGGAAATGTATAATATAAAGTACGCATTTTACGATTGATTTCTCTCTTTTTCCTTCTTAATTTTATGTCAAAAATATCATGCTCAACTGCACAGGGTTAACATTTTTTGGAATATCATAAATTGTTAAACTACGAAATTATCATGTGTTCACATGCTATTATCAGAGACATTGACCAATTCGGAGTTTCGACTGCGCATCCCAATGGCGCAGTTGGAACTCTGGAAGCGTCAAAATGTGCATGCCATGAATGCCATGTCAAAATATTGAGCTATTCACATTGGCCAAACACGCCACGGAAGCTGATTAACTAATGGAATTTGAGTAATTAACGTTGTTTAATTTAATGAATAAATAATGATTTACAATGCATAAAACCCTAGTTTACATGTTGTATACAACTGCTCTTTCTGTGCTGATCGCCAAGACAGAGAAAGTGCAAGATAAAGAAATTGGGGCTTGCGTCAGGGCCGTTTTGTTTTTTGTTTTTTTTATTCTTGTATGTTGTACAAACGTCCACCCTCCCACCCGTCTGTTTCCCATCCTTGTGGCTTTCTGGCTGCGGATCCATTTCCTTGTTTCATTTGCAAACAATGGACCTTCCTTTTCCCCAATGCTTAATCAGTGATCCGTGGCAGAATGGCCATTTGGATATTTCACTATCATTTGTGTTTCCACTTACTGTAAGGCTCGTTTACACTTGCAATTTTTTAAAATTTTGATGCGATTTTAGGTGCGATTTTCTTCTTCTGACGGATGTGGACGAGTGGATAAATTATGAATGTTCAGATGAGAGTCGGAACATTCGTGGCACATCTAGTCGTTCACATGCGCGGGCCTTTATAGCCACAGTCGACTAGCATATTTTACCAAGGCCGGATTTTGGTGGAAATAGTGGGGGAGGTGCAGCAGTCTAGCTCAGGACCGTTCGCAGGATTTTTTCACCAGGGAGCAGTAATTATAAGGCCTATATGTCGAGAAAAGTCCCAAATTCCCAAATAATAATAAACAATGCCATTCTAAAAATCGTAAATATAGTTTTCTCTAGGGGGCAGTTGGCCCCGCCCTCCCCGCTGTGTACGGGACTGGTCTAGCTCACCACCCCCCATGGAAAGTTAGGGCTTAGAACGGGTCAAAGTCAACGCCGTGACGTATATATGTAGTGTACATATGTATCGGTGAATTAATGAATTGTTACTGTACAACTCATCAAAGTTTGCCCTTCATTCCAATTTACTACAAAGTTTCTTTCAAAACATTGCATTAAAAGGATACTTGACCCAGAGCAATCTCGTACCCAGAGCAATGCCTGTGCGCGGGCTAGGATGGCATTGGCTCTGGGGAAATTGAATTTTTCCTGTGCTGTGATTGGTTTAACGTTTGTCAATCGTGCATGCCGACAAAGAACCGGAACCCCTAAATTTAGGGGTTCCGGTTGTCAATTTCCCCAGAGCCAATGCCTTCCTAGCCCGCGCACAGGCATTGCTCTGGGTACGAGATTGGACCAGTACTGGATTGGACCCAGAGATGAATACCATCAGTGTTTCAATTTTACATAAAAACTTTTTTACATAGACCCTAAACAACCAAAAAATGTCAAATTTTCACTTTGATCTATCATTGAAACTTTCCCAACGGGAGGTTCATGACTTTCAGGGGAGGTGTAAAAATTCTCAGGGGAGGTGCGCCCCTCCCCACACCTCCCCCCAAAATCACGTTTTGCCAACTGTGTAAAGCAAAATAAAGAAAGGTATTAATATTTTCTATATAATATGTTATGCGAGTCAATCGCGCGGAAGCTTAATTGTTCTTGAGTAATGATTGGACTCATTGGACGTTCATTTGAATACTTTCAAATGCATATGCGCAGTCGAAACTCCGATCGAATTGGTCAGCAGGTGGCCATGGCAACAGAGTGTGAGAAAAATAGCCTCTGGGTACGAGGTTGACACTATATATGCCGAGCAATCTCGTACCGATAGATTCTTTACCTCTGGGTAGGAGATTGTATGCTATTGTATTTGTAGGAGATTGGCTTGATTGGCTGGTAAGCCGCGGAACATGAAACGTGTTTAGCAGACGCTCAATATTGCGTGATTTATAGTATATGGCATTAAGGCATATTTCCTCTTGATTGACAGCGGCAAAAATAGTATATTGTTGGTCTTTCGCCTCGCCCGTTTCAAGGTGTCCGCGGTGGGCTGACCGTCTGCCACGCAGGCTATTACGTGAAGGCGGCTTATTTGAGCGATTTAGTTGCATGTGCTTGTATATATTTCAGAGGATTTAGTGGCAATAGTACGAGATTGTTTTAGTGATGAAAGTTTTTATACTAATTATTAAATACTTTTACACAATGCCACTGTCTAAAAATTACGGTTGCCATAGTGTTTTTACAGTAATTAAACACAAAAGCAATTGACACTCGACACTCACAATTGACACACGCAAGTTCGGTTAACATTTTCATTCTCTATGTTTCGACTATTAATGCCACTTTGTAGTGAGTTTTATAGGTAGTTGGTTTTTAAAAAACGTGGCATTCTGAAGATGACTGTATTGTCTATGCTGTAAAATTTTATGACGTCATCGATGACGCAAAACGTGATGACGTCATTTGACATGACGTCATTTGATGTCAGGATGATAGTCCAATTTTTGTGGAAGTATAGATATTTTGTTTTATGAAACTACAAATGCGTAAATGACATAATTTTCGTACCTGTCAATGTTCAGCATATGATATATTAATATATAGACTGTTTCGCCCTACAGTGTATACCTTGGTTCATCAGCATGCCTATAGGAAACACGTTTACCAAAAATAGTAAACCGTGATCCAACAAGGACAGCTTCTTGAAAAAGCTGAACACAAGCACAGGTTTCTGGCTCCTTAAAACCAGATTGCTTGCCTTCACACCTTTTGCAAGAGCAAAAGGAGTTTGGCTAGAACTTAGAAATGAGTGACAATAAAATGAACAATGAATACCACCTAAAATGAGCAATCTGGTTTTAAGGTGCCATAAACCCACCTCACACCTTTCACCGCAGCAAAAGGAGCTTGGTTAAAAATGGATGACAATACGGGACATTTCATGGATGTGAAATTGCCTGGTTTTTCCCTTTAGCCCCTTCCCCAGTCCTATTACTAACCTAGCTATGTCTAATCTAATTAAATTCATCATCTAGTTATATATCTGTCCAGCTATGAAAATGTATAATATCGCAAGTGAAATGGTGCCTCAAAGCTGTAGCTTC